ATTGAAATCATGATGCTCCAGATTTCATGGCGTAGTCCAATTGAGGCCGATGTTTTGTTCGTCACAAAGGGCGAAAAGGGCGTACGATTTCAGATATATCACGTGGGTTGAATTTCTTGCACAAATATAACTTGCAATCAAAGGCTCCTCAGCACGGCAACATGGTAGAGAAAGAGGAACAAAGGCGGGCCAAAAAAAGGGCCGCGGACCGAGCTGCTCAACGGGCACACCGCCAGCGCACGAAAGACTACATTGCTCATCTCCAGAAGACGATTGAAGCTTGTCGAACGGACAGCCAAACGGATCTGGTCAACAAGCTGCTCGCTCAGAATGAAGCCCTTTATGCAGAAATTGAGAGATTGCGCAAGCTTCTAGCAAACGATCGGCGCGTCCCTCGTCCCATTTACATTAATGATAGCGCTTCCTCTCCGGACGGGTGTTCCTCGACCAGCGAAGAAGGCAGGAATCAGCTGAGTTGAGTTAAGCTCCGCCTTCAAGTGTCTTGATGTTCAATATTGACAAGGCGTCAGGGAATGGCACCAGCATGCAATATACCGAACCGATCCTCACGTCGACAGCTAATGGTGCAGGAGGGACACCGGGTCGAGTGCCACACGGTTTCGAAGTCTGGCCAAGTGCGAACAATGCATCAATTCAGAGAACGGGAGAAATGGCGACCCTCGACTCGGAGCATTTCCTGGGCCCGGAATCCCTGGAGTTTTCTCAGAATAGAGTCGAACGGCCCGAAGATGCCGGCCATACCACAGAACGACAGAGGCTGGATGTACTTGCCACGCAAATAGAAGCTCCAGGATTCTTAGAACAGGTCGTCAGCTCAAGACTCGCTACCCAGATATTTGATAACATGGATGACGTTGAACCACGGTGCAAGATCTGGTCTGCCGTGAATGAGATTCTCAGCAAAATCCTGCACATGGACGAGCGACAGGCCGAGCAAGCCCAATCCATTCACCCTGGGTCGGTTTTCTTGGGAATTCGAGATGGCTGGGATACATTGGACCCAGATCAGCAGGAGAATCTTATTGTTCGAATTCTGAGCGAGTATGACCAGCAGGTCTGGGCTGGCATGGACCCGATCAATCGTCTAGCGATTGCACATAAGAACGAACGACTTATGAAGGTCAGTCAGGACCCCCTACACTCTGCCCGTTTGCATCGCGACTTAAGGGTATGCTTTAATTTCTAACCCACGAGACAGTACATATTGAGCACCAATAGCACTGACTTTGAGTGTCTTCCATACTGGCAGAGGCCTAGGTTTGTTTTCCGTCCTGCTGTGCAGCGTTGATCGAGGGACCTGACGACAACAGTCTAAAGACCAGAGTTCACAAACACGATATTGCAATTGACTTCCATGCCTGGTGAGCTACAAACCAGAACCCTCAGTGCCGGGCATATTGATTGGCTCATCCTCCACCACCTGCCATGCAGGCCAGGGCTTCGCGAAAAGTTTACGCACCATTGTCAGCTTTACATGACCAACAAATGGTCCCATTCTTTCCAGATACATTTCAAATTTGCATGGCCATTCTCTTTCGAAGATACCTACAAGGAGGATCCCATCACAGGAAAATACTTCCCCAGTCCCCTCTTCGAGAGATATCACCGCGACTTGAGGCACTGGCGGATGGAAGACGGGTTTTTCGAGATTTTCCCGGATTTCAGGGAAATTATGACGATCGCAACCTCGCCTTGTCAACAAAACAACAACATTAATCCTCCCAAAGAAAAATCCTCATGTAGGGATGCTGAGCCGGAAATATGCCAAGCTTTGCCCACGTCTTCCCTAGAGCAACACGGAGAGAGTAGCGGACCTTTTTCCTCCATGCTGTTCGATTACGGTGTAACGGCTGGAACAATCGCTAGCCGTCATGTAGCTTGGACTTCTGAAGTTTATCCTGGATTCGAAGGGTTCGTTGAAGGGGTATTGGCGTGAGACGCGGATGAAAACAAGCCTTAGTGCCACTGGGAACTCCCTGCAGTGAGAAAGGCTTCGCAAGCATGAGCCAACGGAGACTGCCCAGGTATGAACGGAGGGAGACTAGTATTACAGGGTTTTGTGGCCGGGCATTAGATAGTATTTGATATTTGTGTGGAGGTTATGGAGATTCCAGATAAGCCAAGCAGTCTCTTCAACTGAAAGATGAAGGAGTAAGAAGGCGTATCAAAGATTAGAGTCAGGCTGACCTATTCTTTCAATGTCGTTACTAATTCCTGTACTATCCTGGATTTCATGGTAGCGTGACTCTGGCATCTGTTGAGGAGCATATTCGTTGCTGCTACAGGGATCCTACTGACTCGCAAATCTGAATCTCCCCATGACTTTCATTTTGAATTTACTTTTGAATTCCACGGAACGATCTCGGCCTGACATTTCTCAATGTCGCGCCACCAAGCAGTCAAGGCTCTTCCCTCAACATATGTTGATGAAGTTGTTGTCGCCAACGGGAAGTAAACTGATCACATAGACGACGTGACTTTTGACAAATTTCTTAGAACTCTATGGCGCTCCCAACAGGAGCTCAAGTTATCGCACAAGCACTTCAGCAATTGGGTGTGACCGCTGTCTTTGGACTCGTTGGCGTTCCAGTGGGAGTGCTGGGTGAAGAAATCATCAAGATTGGGATTCGGTTCATTGGGTTTCGGAATGAGCAAGCCGCATCATACGCAGCGAGCATCTATGGCTTTCTGACTGGGAAGCCCGGCGTGTGTCTCGTGGTTGGAGGTCCGGGCGTGCTACATGCAATGGCTGGAGTAAGTTTCTGGATAACGACATTGTGCCCGCGCTCTGTATAGTTGTCAACCATGCCCGCTTGCTAATTCTCTTGACCTTTGTGATAAACAGATTGGAAACTCGTCAGCCAATTGTTTTCCAATGCTTCTACTCGCCGGGTCTTCCGAGTCCTACCTCACCACCAAAGGGGCGTTTCAAGAGCTCGATGCCGTGTCCCTGCTTACACCTCACACCAAGTTAGCGTTGCGTCCTTCAAGAATCGACCTCCTCCCAGAATTGATTCACACCGCATACCGGACATCGCTGTATGGCGTACCCGGGCCAACAGTGATTGACCTTCCTGGAGACATTCTCGAGGGCAGACCGGACAGCAGCATGGACATCATCCGTCCACTGCGAGCCCTCCCACCTGCTCCGCGGTTCGCGGCTGATCCAAGTAAAGTTGCATCCGTGGCTGCGCTACTGAAGGCCAGCAAAGCGCCTCTGGTGGTCATTGGCAAGGGGGCGGCGTATTGCCGAGCAGAAAAATCGATCCGCCAATTCATTGATTTGACACAATTACCCTTCCTGCCCACACCGATGGGCATGGGCGTTGTTCCTGATTCTCACCCATGCAACGTCTCGGCTGCCCGCTCAGCGGCTCTATCTCATGCGGACACCGTGTTGGTGCTTGGAGCCAGACTCAACTGGATCCTCCACTACGGCGAGGACCCGAAATGGAATCCGTCAGCGACAATTATTCAGGTCGACATTAAGCCCGAGGAAATTGGTAGAACCGGAGGTAACGCAACACTGGGCCTCGTAGGCGACATCACTGTTGTGGTGGACCAGCTTCGAGTCGAGATGGGTGAGAAATAGCAGTTTCATAGTCATGACGTTGAGTATTTTGCGTGCCTGAAGACAGCGGCAGCTAAGAATTTGAAACGGGCATATCGGTTGGCGCAAGAGCCGAAGATGGCAATGACATATTATCGGGCATTCGACATCATCAGAAAGACTCTGGAGACTCTGTCCTCCTCCGAGAACGGGGAGATCCTTTGGATCGCCGAAGGTTCCAACACGATGGACATCTCGCGGTCAATATTTCCCGTGGAATCTCCCCGGTCCCGGCTCGATGCCGGCACTTACGGAACCATGGGCATTGGGCTTCCCTATGCGATAGCCGCACACCTGGTGCACAATGAGCTTCAGGAGGAGGTCGGGGAAACATCGATGAGAAAAAGCAAGAAAAAGATCGTCGCCATCGAAGGGGACAGCGCGTTCGGCTTCTCGGCAATGGAAGTGGAGACTATGGCGCGGTATGGCATGGACGCGTTGATATTCGTTATAAACAACAACGGCATCTACCACGGCGACGGGGATGATGCGGAAGAATGGGCTCGAAAGAAGCAGAGAACTCTGCAAGGTCAGTGTGGAGGCCTCAGGAGCACGAGCCTCGGTTGGCAGGTTGGCTACGAGGGAATCGCAACGTCGTGTGGTGGAGTAGGATTCCGCGCCCGTACGCCCGCAGAGCTGGCCCAGGCTACGGAGCGAGCGTATCGTGCCACTATACCTGCCGTGGTGAATGTCATTATCGAGGCCGGAAGTCCTCCTGAAAAGGTGAGATATGTGTATCCTCCAGGAAATATCCGTGCTCAAGAACTAACGAGCAAATTTGCAGATGTTCAGCTGGCAGGCAAATCGTCCACGATCAACCTCTTCAAAATTATAGGCAGGCTATATAGACACGAAGACAAAAATAAGATGAAATGTCCTCTCATTGCAAGTATATCTTTGGGAATGCAAAACAAATTCGTTTCGACGAGACCATGATCCAGTTGAGACGCCAATGTGATGAAGGAACATGGCAAATTGAAGTCCCGAAGGAACAGCCTTGTGTTTTGTCTTCTATCTACTGTTCAAATCCTTGCTTTAATCTCTCCGAAAATTCGAGCCTGATCTCTTTGGGCCCAGGCTTTGACCACCCTGCGGTGTGTCTTCCCACTCGGCAGCTTTGGAACGTCTGAAACAGACGCAACGCCTCCTGAAAGCCACTTGTGCTTCGAAAGATGTGACTTGACCCAGCTTTGAACGTTTTCTTCCGTGAGAAGCCCCCAGGCTGCATCCTTGGGCTTTACATAGGCTCGCGGTCGCTCGCTCTCACCACTGTCAAGATTTGCAGGAGATTAGCGTGCAAGCGAGGGAGGAAATGCATTAGGGCGGACGGCATGAAGCTGTACACCCATGTCCAGCAAGCAGGGGAGACTCACGACTTGATTCCTATCACAGTGGCGTCTGCGATATCTTCGTTCTTGAGAAGAACTGCTTCTAATTCCGCAGGTGACACTTGGAAAGCGTTCACTTTTATAAGTTCCTACCAATTGCAAATCGTGTTGTCAGTTGTTGCCGTAGATGCAACCCGTTGACGGAAGTGACAATCAATACCCCTTAGAAATTCAGACAAGGGTAAGACTATTACCACTTACCTTTCTGCGATCAACGATTCTAAAGTAACTGTTTTCGTCAAAGTGAGCGATATCTCCGGTTCTAAGCCAGCCCGCATCGTCGAAAGTGTCTCTTGTCGCCTCTTGGTTTTCAAAGTATCCCAGTGCTACGTTCGGCCCGCGCAAGTGTATCTCCCTTTTGACACCGGGCGATACTACCTCAGTGTCGTCTTCGCCAATCAGCTTGGCTTCCATGTTGGGAATGAGCACTCCGACCGTGCCGACATGGTCTATCCACGACCTGGGGATCAGGGTCGCCGCACAAGTAGCCTCAGTCATGCCCCAGCCTTGCGCCACTCGGGCTCTACGCTGGAGCCGCTCGTGCACTGATGTCTGTAGTTCTGTGGAAAGCGGTGCCGAGACACAGAGGATGTTTTCTACCGATGACAAGTCGAAATCTCCAACCTCTGGTCGCTTGGCAAAGAGGAGAAGCACAGGAGGTATTGAATGGAGTCGATTGATGCGATACTTCTGTATCGCATTAAGGTAATCGATAAATTTGAAGCGTCTCATGATGTAAGTTCTGATTCCGAGACGTGGGGCAAACATGAAGGTGTAAATCTGGCCATAGGCATGGAACATGGGCAGAAAGACCAGCCATCTCTCGCTGGGTGAAAATCCTAAGGTAGCTTGAGTTTGCTCGACATTCGCGATCAGGTTGCGGTGAGACACACAAACGCCTTTCGGGAGTCCAGTCGTACTGTTTTCACGCTGGATCAGCAAATGTCTGATAGCCTGAAGTTCAATGAAAGAGAGTCTTATGGACCATACGCATACCCAGATGAGAAGTTGATGACAGCTGTTGTCGAAATGGACTCTGATGGCGTGAGGTTGAGCCATGCCCAGCCCTTGGCGATGGAAGGCACCAGGTCGCGCCAGTCTGGAATGCCATGAGTCGGACCATAGTGACGATCTGAGAATAGAACAAGGATGTCCTCTGTGAGCCCTGCCTGGAGAGTTGCTGCAGCCCCGGCCTGGGCGGACTCTGGCTCAACCAGGATAATCTTTGCTCGAGTTTTCTTGATCTGATAAGCCAGCTCTGTGGATTCACATCGCATGGCAACCGAGTAAGCAAGAGAAAGTTGTTTTTTCAGATGTCAGAGGTTATCTTTGAGAAAGCAAAAGGGCCGTGGAAAAAGAAGGACTTGCGACTTATTTGGGGCCAGTTTTACCTGGAACTGTATAGTCTGGATTCAGACCTGAAAACGCCGCACCACACCCAACGATAGCGTAGAAGGCAATAGGCATGAAGATGTGGTTTTGCGAGAGCGTCAAGCATACGTCGCCCTGCTTGACGCCTCGACCACTCAGGTACGATCCTAACCGCTGCGTCCAATCCACAGCTTGACGACGGGATATCGTGTGAGAAGAGTCCTCTGCGTCGATCCATATAGGTGACTCATCATCCAATCGCGAAGATGGGTCCGAATCGGGGATATTAGGGAAAATGTAGTCGAGAAGTCCGAGCCGAGGGATCTCGAGGTCAGGAAGGGGAGACCGGATCACCATCTTGGCAGCGTATTAATGCTGCAGACGGTAATGGCCTTCGGTCCAAGCAGTACTGGGTCCAAGTGATTCACAGGCTTAGATGGCTGTGGTTACTCGAGGTCGGTCAACACAAAGATTTCATTTTCATGTTCAGATCCAGCCAGGCCCGATGGTATTTGACAAAGAAAGATGCACCCGAAAGCTATTAGACCACAGCTCCGCTTAGGGAGTCCATGAGTCAGCTATATGACGCGGATGCGTGGACCTTTGTCTCTACCACCAATACTGAGTATCATACTCATTGTCTCTGTTGTTGCCTGGCTAGGCCTCCTGACTCGCAACAAACTCTGCACAATACATGCAGCATTTCCTAGTAATATCCAAAATGCTATTACCTTTTGGAAGGCTAAGAAACAATAGCGGCACAAATATTCAAATTGTCCCTGACAGCAAAAGCAATTTCTCTATAGAATTTTGATTGTTTGAGAGCTGAGATTCAAACCACTACTGCCAACATGTCACTCTCGAATAGCCCAGTCAAATCCGTCTAATTGATCTCTGCGTAATGTGAGCCGCCTTCCCATGCCAGAAAAACTTAGGACCTTTCGACGTCTGTGCCAGAATCAATCAGTCCATTCATGCTCTTCTCTTATCATCCCTGACACTCGGGCCATAAATATACAAAGCCACGGGAACCGGAATCATCAGAGCAGCAAGACAGTCCAGGAGCGTGCCCGACGATTGCATGCAAAGGCTATTGTAAATGTAAGGAGCGAACAGAGGAAAACCTGCGGCGGCAAAAGATCGTAACATCGTGTGACCGGCAATTGCCGAGGCCGGCCTGGGTAGGACCAGAGTGTGGGAGTTGGCAAAAATAGGTATCATCACAGCTGACTGGGAGACAGGTCAAATCCACCTCTCTAGCTTCGCCTGAATGAGATATGTAATCGATGGCACGAAGGTTGCTAGCAAGCCGAAACCAGTGAAGATCCCGGACAGCGTGGGCAATATCCAGTGTATGTCCTGTCGATATCCAGACCAGCCAAACCGGGGGATGCCCAAAGAGAAAGCCACTGCGCCGGGAACGGCAATGGATAGCTGCCACTCTGGCATCTGCCGGCCTCTGTTCCGATGTGCCTTCTTCGCAATACAGCCCTGCATGGCGCCGATACTTGCCATGCTGCAGACCTGGCCCACTATAAGACTTAGATACGGTAGGCCACCTACACCAGGCTGCATGCGGCGGATCTATTGAAAAACGATCCGGTAACCCAACCAAGAAGAGGTAGAGCAAGGCATAGACAAAGGAGCCGAACAGGCTCATCAGCAGAACAACAGGATCTGAGATGAGTAACCTCAACGGGACGGCGAAGTAGTCAGCCACCAGGACCTTCCAGGTAAGCTTGGTTTACTCATGACGAGCGATGAGTGAGAGCGCTCCATTGTCCCTGCGGAGGTGGCGAGCTCTTTTTTACTACAATGACTGGTGCGTATGTCTCGTTCACCACGAAGACCATTGGGAGGAGGGTCGCTGCGCCAAGGATGCCGCAGAGATACTCTGTCCATACCCAGCCAGGAGATTCATTGATGACGATGAAGCCGGCGGTAGGCTGGGAGAGTATCGGATCCAGAAAAACAACGAACGCAAATGAAATCATGGAGATGCCGAGCGCCTTGCCGACAAACATGTCTGATCTCAGCGGCGATGCCAGCGTTAATGGGCCAGCCCCGAAGAACCCGCCGAGGAAGCGAAACGCCAGAATCGAAGCCATGTTACGGGAGGCACCAGTGGCAAAAGAGAAGACCATGAACCCGGCGAGGGATATGGCGAACGAGATGTGCCGTCATTTGAGCTCTCAAAGGGGTGCCCAGATGCTTGGGCCAAACCCAAAACCTGGTACATATAGTGATACGCACATCAAATCGAGCTCTCGACTGGTATCGTATTTACGTTCGAGGGAAGGCACGACTGTTGAGAAAATGGCTCTAGCTAACGTTACCACCATGGTGGAAAACGTCGTCAATGATGCGACCAGGATCCTACGAATGCAGTGCTCTTGTCAGTACGTTGGGGAAATGGGCAAGAAGCTAGATCTTTGCAGCATAATGGACTCAGATGCCTTCTGCCCGGCGGTCGATTACGCGGGTTTAGCAGATCATCGGCCCCATCAAAGTCCTGGTATTCTAAGAAACCGTCAATTCTGGTATTGCAGTATGTGCTTTGTCAATAGCCTTCTTGGGCTGCTCCGGATATTCTTTGGTTTGACACATCTTCGTGGGAGTTTCTAGTGACTATGGATGGGAAAAGGAAGAGATTGCTGTGGCTATAGGCAGGCTATCACGTTGAGAGCGCAGTGTTTAGATCGAACAGCCAACGATCAATCGATATCTCTCTGTGTGTGTTTTCTGTCCAGACACCTCGCCAGGCTGCTCCTCGAAAGACTGGCCAGGGTTTATAAGAGCACACGCGAAGGCGCGAATCAAGCAAAGCTTAGCTGCATGAGGCAATCTTCATAAGTCATACTAGGTCAACAACCCGGTATACGGCTTGAAACTACACCGACCGTGCACGCTCAAATACAAATAGAGCAGAAAAACTGCCTGTCCGATCCCGCATATATCTCGGACCGTGACAATTACTGAACAGCAGGGACCAATATCACATACTCCTGAGTTCAAATGCTAAATTGCAGTACGATGCCTAGCCACCCGCCGAGGGAAAGGGAGCCATGAAGACTGACCCACCCACGAGGGTACATCGCTCTGGTCCTCTCCCTAGTGTACGGCCGCAGCCTTGGCCAGCAATCACCACCGCCAAATCATCAGGCCAAGCCTTTTGTCTTTGACAAAAGAACCAACAAAACGTCCTCCCTCGTAGCCTGGACATCTCCAAACAGTCGGATACATTTCTGTTTCCGTCTATCACTGCCTACTCCGGCTGAGGTGTCCGCCCGCCAACGCCATCACGATAATCCTTCAACACCGAGGCCGGCGTTGCATCATACCCGACCTTCTTCATCCACTCACGTACGCTCTTCACCCGATCCGGCAGAATCTCGTCCAGAAGCTTATAATCCCTCGTTGTCAGTTCGTCCCGCCATGTATTCCAGAAGCCAGAGAAATTCTCGCGGAACGTGAATAGGGTGGGATCGTTACGGGTCGTGGAATGCCCGATCTTCATGTCCGGGTACGGAAAAATCGGAAGAGCAAAGTATTCGTCCAGCGTGACGTTCTTGTACACAGCCTGCTTGCCCGTCACGCATGTAAATGCTTTGACAAGGTCCGCCCATGCGATGTCCTCGGTTGCGACGTGCAAATCCAGTCCAATACTGCGGGATGGGTTGTCGAGTAGCCAGCGCGCATAGCGGCCGCAGTCGTCGAGGTAGATGAGTGGACACTTCGCGGCCCCCAACGGTGCAGCAAATACCAATGTCCCAGGCTCCGAAGGGTGTGGGAATGGCCGCAGGACCTCACTCAGACCTTCCATGTATAGGCAGGAGGTCAGAACAGACCATGCCATGCGCTCCGTTGGCTGCGCGGCGATGTAGTCGACGACTTTGCCTTTGCCGTCCAGATGGCCTGTCCGGTATTTTGGATCGAACCCGCCTAGCTTGCTTGCGTATTCAAGCCCAGCGTAGATGAAGTGCTTGACTTTGAACTCGCGCGCCAGCTCGTACAGTCGGATGCCCCAGTAGATCTCCTCTTTTTCGCCAATGGCGAATCCGTTCGTGTTGGCGAAGACGTAGTCTACACCTTCGAAAGCCTTGCGAAGATCAGGCTCGTAGTAACTGTTACCCTGTTGGATGGTTACGCCGGGGAGTTGTGATAGCTCGTGGGCTTCGCTGGAGGTCGCGTCGCGGGTGATGACGCGGGCGGAGTATTTCTGGTCGGCGACCATAGCTTTGAAAGAAGTGTATTAATACATGTTCTAGTGTTTTTGGATTGAAATTGGGGTAATATTTGTACCTTTGACCACGGGTATACCTTGGGCGCCTGTGCCGCCAACGATCAAGATGGTGCCTGACTGATTCGACATGTTTGGAACCAGTGAATGGTTTATCCGTGCTTGTGTGAGTGAAGGTTTAATTTTTCTCGCCCAGTAGATCGACTCGTGGTTTTATTCCAGGTTCGTCCCATGGTCTACGGCAAATCTGATCCTGAGCTGATGTCACATATCCTGACTCCAGCATTCGAGTCGGGCACAACCATCTCAAGCAGCAGTTGCCTGATGCGTAAGCTGTACGGTGGGATTCTTACAAATGCATAGTCTGCGAGTAATCGAGATACTTGAGTCGTACCAGATCGAGATGCCATCGAGTTTTCGACGGAGACAGGAGTTCCTCCGCTGTGTTACTTGACCCCCTTGGGCGTGGCTCACCGCCTATGTGAGCGGCGTACTTCGCCTGCTGGACGTAGTTTGAAGTTCTCGGGAGTGGAAACATGCTTTTGTCAATATCGGCATCCACTGCATCCATCATTTCGTGCCGCCGGCCATGCAACGTCTGCGTTTGAAGAGTCTTGATTGAGGTGATAATACATGCAGCCAAGAACTCTCCACTTCTCTGTCGTGTCTGGTACCAAGTGGTGCTTAACAGTGCGCCCGCAACTAATCCGCACCCCGGCCCTGGGGCCACGCCGCTTTTTGGCTAGATTGATGTTAGACACGCACCTTAAAGTGGTTTGGTATGCCTGGTTCCCTGGCTCTAACCTGCAAGAACGATTGCCGAGACGAGCTAGCCCGCACGCTACTCCGCTGCTTGGGCTCTCAATAGCTTTACCATGCACAGTAGTTGTTGCTTCTGAATCCAGCCGCAATGTTCGGACTCGCTGTTGAAGTGTTTCAGCTCTAAAAGCATTCCCGCATGCGCTCTCGCTTCGAACAGCAGGAATGTCCGTACCGGTATACGTCGGATCTGCGTTACGATCAGCTTTTGCTTAGCAACAGGATGATTTTATGGCCGTAAACAAGTATCGCTCTGTGGCTGATGACCAACAGGAGCGTCATGCACAGACGTCACATTCTCAACATACTTCCCACTGCGGTCTTTGGCCATGTTTGGACGCCATTAGAAATAGACCCAGGGATTCCACCAACACAGATTTTTGATGTCTCAATACCGCCATCCACCTCAGGCTATACAGTAATACTTCCCTTCAACCTTTTCTACCGTCCCAGCGCGCCAGAATGCTTTCCAAGCAAGTCCTCGAGATGCTAGCCCGCAACAGGTAAGTCCTTCTTCCCCGAACAGCAGTGGATCCACACTTCACGAAAAGTTAATCTGACGACCCCTGCTTCCGGAAGTTTGCCCAGAGCTATCAGGCACCGCCAGGCCTGTCACAGATGGCGGCAACTATGAGGTCGACCGGAACAGGCGTCGTGGTGCTCTCGTGCTCCGATCCACCCTTCAATCTATATCAAATCTTGGGGATCGATGCAACCTTAAGTAAGAAGTCTGTCCCTTCGCCTAGCCGTACCCCATCAACGGGCGTTACGGCTCATGGAGACAATGTTGATCAATGGCCATAGAAGTTACCATGGTCTGCAACGCTGGCGGCAGAGCATTTGACGCCATTCGCACTTTATCAGTCTTACAGACCATCGGAAACCCGGGCACAATCATTGTTATGCATCACACCGGTAAGTTAGTAATCAGTCTGGTCTGCTTGGGGGTGATGTAGTCCTGCGTAACATGGGAGTGGTCCTTTCCCCGAGGGGCTCACTGCTAATAATAGGCTCCAAATTGTGGCCTCAGCTATTACCATGATTCAGATATCAAGAGGGCCCTGCTCGAGTTGAATCCCGAAGCTAATGAGCTAATTGAATCTTCCAAATTCGGGGAGATTACTACCGGGTCAGTATCCAACACTTTAGCCATATTCCGAATGTTGACATCTACCCGTAGGATGGATGAGAGTATTAGAGCTGATATCGCATTTCTGAAAGCATCTCCGCTGGTCAAGAACACCACTCAGATTGTTGGCCTGGCGTACGACATCGAAAGCGGGGTGCTGAGGGAAGTTGATGTCAAGGAAAATAGGCTCCGAATGAGCTTCTGGTACCTTATGCCTATATCTAACGAGGACCGTACCTTAAGCACCAAACACGGCGACAACCATATGTGAAAAGTCCGTGACTCGAATATGTGTCTTCGGACACCATCTCGTATTCCATCCTCAAGACCCACATGATTTTCAATAGAAATAGCGGAAAGTAACTCTCAACTTTCACTTGGCGAACCGAGATACTCTACTTCGGGGAGGCGAGTCTGCTGCGCTGCCCGAGTACGAACAGTAGTAGCAGCGGGGATCGATATCCCTTGAACAAGGATTCTCGCTCGTTCCCCTCGTGCGCCAACCCAGATAGGTCTTCCCATGCGTCTTGGCCTTTATATGCTCTATGTAGAGCGGCTATGCTCGTTTCTCCTATGTTGGCCAATGCTGATGCTCTATGACAAGTGCTCCACGAGGATGTGTTGATCCGAGAGAGAAGGTCCCACATCGCAAACGGTGGTTACATTGCTAGTGCTCCTCTGCCGATGTCAGAATATGACTACTCCTGCCTCGAGAAAGAACAAATCGACTGCTACTAAACTAGGGCTAGTATATAATCATGATGAGAGTCTTGATTTGCCGTCGATCGAGGCTACGCTGGGAATGTAGCTGTGACGAGCGTCTTGCAAAGTATCTCTGGATCCGAGGAGGGGTTTTCTTGCCTCCGATGGAAATTTGGATATAATCAATCTTCTCTATCAGTCATCTCGACAAGAGAGCCATTTTGAAAAGGTGTCTTGAAGTTATCTGCTGGTGATAGAGCTTCCTACGTATTCAGCAGCAGTTTCCAAAGTCGTGTGATGCATTCACCTCCATTTCTTTTCGTGAGCAGCTCACCTTCATCGTCAACGAGCCAGGAAGATAGAAGTCGGCATAAGAGACTGGTTCAACGTCACGTCCAAATCCGCTCGATCATCTCTCGTGTCGCTGCATCAGAACCTCACAAGAGTCCAGCCTCTCCAAGTTTCATCTTCGCCCACGCTGAAAAACCATTGATGGCCGAGAAAAGCGAAGCTAGCCACAATGTAGAGAATCGACTAAGCACAGAAGCTAATGTTGCCCTGTTCCAAGAGAGTGTTCTAAAACCAGGCCAGTGCAAGACTGTCGCATGCGATGAATGCACGAAATTCAACGTCCAAGGCCAATGCAGCTTATTTCCACCGCTGGCGGATTCATGCAACCCAAAGCCTCGTCATTCGATTTCTCAGCCATCTCCAATTGTTCTGGGCGATCAAGAGTACCAATATCTGCAATATTACCTGGCCGTGGCGCATGAAAGTCTGTTTTGTTCGGCGGGACTGGGTTTATCGGAACGAAGCGCACCTCTTCTGAAGAGTGCAGCGTTCATGGTGCAAGGTTGTCTAAGGAACGACCTTTTGATATACTCGTTGCTGGCAAACATGTCGACGATCCTGCCAAAAATAGAGCAGGAGTCTTCCGTACATAACAGTATCTACTACTGTTACAAGGCCATAGAAGCTCTAAGGCACCGGCTAGGGACTTCTATTCCACCTGACGAACTTGTCATTGTCAGCTTATGGAATCTAATCAGCGCAGAAGCTAATCGCGGCGACGTTGACGCTGCTCTTACCCACCTCAAAGGGGCCAGGGCGGTCTTTATTCACCTTCAGGAGTCTGGCAACCCTCCAGGCCCACCATATGTTGCACTCATCCGAGCTTGCGGGTCACACGTCGCCGCGGCCTCGTTGTTGGGTAAACATGGCTCGACCAGTGCGGGGCGCTTTGGATGAAATGTAGACGGCTGTTGAGAACTTAAAACATAGTAGCAACCGGTTGGGGCTCGATATAACAAGTCTGAGAATTTGAGGGACAGGATCTGACAGAAGCCATGCTCACTCCATCTTTAACGAGTGTAAGGTCTGCAAATACTTTGCTGTAGATTTCGTATCAATGATCACGAGTCTTCAGGATTACCCGCCGCAGTCTAGTGGGGTGCATACCTGCGGCAAACCACCGTTTGCTGAAATTTGCGAGGATCTTGAAGAGAGAAGTGACTCTCTCTTTGCAGAATATCTCGTTGGTTCGCTTCCATGCTCGATATTGGATCATGGCTGCTTGGTAAAGCGAAAGTGGTATGAGCGGCGACATGTTGCGAATGTCTATGCTTTCAGGGTCTGCAAACAAGTGTCTTGAGAAATCTACCAGTCGAATCGCTGCCGACTCGATGCAGTCCAATATGCGAAGCTTTCCCAGGTCTTCGTCGTTGTATTGCTTCATGGCTGCGTCGTACAAGTTGAAAAGAGCGCTTCCCAAAGTCAGACGAGAACTCGGATCATCGAGGGCTGTTACCTTGTACATATCGCCAGGGCTGCGCAGTACTGGCCGTACTTGGAATCCTCTTCCATAAGTAGAGGCATGAAAGCTTTGAGCGTGCGTTCAAGCTGTAGCTCCTCACTTGCATGGAAATTTCGATCCGACGTTGGATCAAGTACATGTCTGAGGACGCGGCCCACAAGGTATGATATTTGGCATTCGCGCGCAAATTGACCCATTGTGATATCAGAGGAGGTACCTAAAGTATGATGAACCAAGGTAGGTACCACATTCTCAGACCAGTTACCGTCATCGAACGGGAGCAGGACATCAGTTCTAGGATCCTCGGTCGCAAACAGAGCATCGTTGTTGCACAGGTTGATGAATCTATAGTGTCAGATACGATGGAGCACCGGTCCAAGAGGCCTTGACTTTACCTGTCCAAGTTAAACACTGCCCACCACACCCGTCTTCGCTCTTCTTCATCGAGAGTATGTTGAGTCGTCACCGGGGTCGACCACTGGTTGTGGAGACCAAGGGTGCGTGCGGCTTGTGCACAGGCTGCGATAGAGATTGATGCGGCCGGAAACAAGCCATGTCCAATCTCGTAGAATACAATGAGAAGTCTGCACTGGCACATTTCCAGTGACAGATAGTCTGTTGCTTCAAGTAAACTGATAATGTTCTTCACAGTAATGTAGAGCGATGACTGCATATTCTGAGCCTGTAATGGCGGATGCTGCAAAATAAGACGCGTGCATAAACATAGGGCAGTAAAGTCGGCGGGTGTGCTTGTAAATGGGAATCCCAAAAGAAGGCGCTCCTGGAATCGGCGATTTGAAATGATTGGTAGGCGTTTCGACACGGTAGCGAAGTAGGATGTTGCGGTCGAACGCCATTCTTCAGGCGAAGCGACTACATGTCGTGCTTGATTGAGTACAAGGGCGTCGATTTCCGAGCGCCGGAAGGCCGACCCGAGTGACAATGAATCGCCAAAGATGAGCCTAGGGGCTTCTGGGCCGGGGACCGAGTGTGAGTCTGTCTGTGCACCAGTAAAGGAACCTGCTGAGTTGCTCTCCTCGTAAACGCAAACACGGCCGGACCTAACAGACCGCAAAGGCTTAGCCTGCGCCGCACCAGGCGCATATCAGTCACAAACCTGACACAGGTGGTGCATGACGGGTAGCCTCTATCACATTTTCGTTTACGGACACTGCATGATGCACAGGCATTTGTAGAGAAGGATGGAGGTATAGCTGAAGTCATGATACTCGATTGGATTGCGGTGGTGAGGGTCGAAGGACCGGGAAAGACTCAGGATTGCAACTTTAGCTGGGACTTCACCTGCAACTTGGCACAATCGTAAATTCGCCTAATACTTGGCAGAATTTAGATACCAAAATCCTATAGATTGGTAAGCGTTCAAAATTTTAAGAAAATCTCGCAAACTAATCGTATTATTGCCTGTCCTATATACAGTAGGGAGCTAGCGATAATATTCCGAATAATAAATAAATTGTAACTGCACGGTAAATAGAGATGTTGCGGTAAAGCTGGATTAAGTCTATAGTTTATCACCAAAAAAAATTTGGCTCACCCGTAAGAGCCCTAGGCCACTCCAATTTTTAAGGTACGTCAGTATCTTAATAATCTATAGTTTTGCAGCAATCGTCAGGAAACCCATCCAGCGAGCAATATTCTTCTATTCAGTCAATAGTAGAGTCTCCCCACTTACAGGTGAGCTTCGGGCTTGCGTATTGTAGGTAGTGATAACGGAGGAGCCCATTCTTTGAAGCCATCCTTCACAGCCAAATCTTTGGGGATCTCAGTCTAGAGGCTTTCTCTCGGAACGCGCTCTTTGCCAATCTCTACAATCTCTCCATTCGAAGTGGGAAAGGGGTAGGGGTTAGAAGAGGCCTGGTGACTTCACTTTCACAACCTTCATCACCGACACTATCGGCTATACATTTGGCCTCCATACGTATTATCCTTCTACCAACCCATTTCTTGACGTGCACCTCCGACCAGGTGGATTTGGACGCGATTTGTGCTCAAAGGAACATAAACCATTGCCCAATCTTGATTTTCACGGTGATGGAGTTCCCCGATGTAGTAATCCTAGTATTTGGCCTTCCTGGCGTGGTTTGACACAAGCTTACAAGATGATGGAACCTCATTTTTCGACGCGGTCTAACGTTGTAAGCTGCGAGGATCAACCGCATTTGATATATCGAAGAACAAGGAATGTCGGATTCCAAAAAATTTCTTATAATTCCGTACTTAGTTCCGTGGATTTTTGTTTCTCGCGAATACTGTCCAGCTGAAACGCCGAATTCAAACTTCCGAGAAGAATTATATAACCCCGAGCAAGGATTCTAGCTATGTGAAATGATGGTCGAATGTGAGAGTCCGCTCATTTCCTCCGTTCTACTCTTGGAGCTCGACATAAATCTTCCTGTGCTTCCTGTAGCTCTCATAATGCCCACCCCTCACGAACCCACTGCCTCCGTCGATGAAGTCCCACAACGAGTCACGGACTCCTTCCTACGCAAATCTAGAATCCGATCTCTTCTCGAGCTCACGCGCCTCGACGACGATGTATGTCGGCAGAATTACGCCGGTAGCGGCACAGTCGACGACCCCTACATTGTCGATTACTTGCGCGACGACCTCCAAGACGCCTTGAATTTCTCCAAGGGACGGAAATGGGCCATTGCCATTTCCCAATCCCTTTGCACCTTTGCGGTGACCTTTGCCAGCTCGGTGTACGTCAGCGGCATCGCGGGCGTCATGCAGCGCTTTCACGTGTCTGAGGAGGTGGCCACACTGGGCTTGTCGCTCTTCGTGTTGGGGTTCGCTTTGGGACCATTGATCTGGGCGCCTCTGTCGGAGGTGTACGGGCGCAAGACTATCTTTGTGATTTCGTACACGGCGTACACGGCGTTTAGCGTGGCGGCGGCATGCGCGCCGAGCATCACAGCCTTGCTGGTTCTTCGCTTCTTTGCGAGCGCTTTTGGTTCATCGTCGATGACGAATACTGGGGGCGTTATTGCGGACATGTTCAGCAAGGCGGAGCGCGGACTCGCCACGGGATTGTTCGTCACGGCGCCCTTTCTGGGGCCTGCCCTTGGTAGGTCGTCGATTTCCTTCTTCCATGTAACCTTTTTTGCCATTGTTGCTCTTGTACACTTGCTAATTCATTTCAATTCCTTTCAGGTCCCATTGCAGGTGATTTTCTTGACGAGACCCAGGGCTGGCGCTGGATTCTTGGATTGATTGCCATACTGGGTGGTGTGATCTGGATTGCCACAATGCTTGCCACCCGCGAAACATACGCGCCGTTCATTCTGCGATGTCGAGCCAAGTCCCTCTCTCGGATGATGGGGAAAGTATATGTATCCCGGCTCGATGCGGCGCAGACGCCCAAAACACTCTCGCAGGAGCTCTTGGTCTCTTTCACGCGCCCCTTGATCCTTCTGTTCCGCGAACCCATTGTGTTGCTGACGTCAATGTACATCTCTATCGTCTACGGCACACTGTACATGTTCTTTGCTGGGATTCCCATCGTCTTCCAAGATGCCCGAGGCTGGAGCCAGGGCACCGCCGGACTTCTGTTTGTCGGCGTCGCTATTGGCGTCTGTCTTGCCACGCTTGCGGCCGGAGTGGACAACAAGCGCTACGTGCGCCTGTGCGCTGCAGTCGAGGCAGAGGGGTGCGCAGTCGAACCAGAAGCCAGACTAAGCACCGCCATGGCAGGCTCTATTGTCCTTCCGATTGGTCTCTTCCTGTTTGCGTGGACGACGTATCCGTCGGTGCATTGGATCGCGCCCATTATTGGCGCCACACTGTTTTCATGCGGTCTTGTCATGGTCTTCATCTCGCTGATGAGCTATTTGGTCGACTCTTGTATGTTTCAATCTTTACCCCGGAATCCTCTGCAAAATTGCACGTACTCACTTCTGTATAGATGTCGTCTATGCTGCCTCTGTGCTAGCGGCCAACTCAGTGCTTCGATCCTTGTTTGGCACCGCATTTCCGCTGTTTACGACCCAAATGTACGAGAATCTCGGAAATCAATGGGCGAGCTCCATTCCTGCATTCCTGGTGCTTGGATGCCTGCCTTTCCCGTTTCTATTCCACAAATACGGTCCGCAAATACGCTCCAGATGTAAGTATGCTTCCGAGGCGGCAAAGGTACTGGAAATGATGCGTCGTCGGCACGTTCTCGTCACCAGGGTCGAGCAAAATGAGCAAGGGAAGGAAGCTGAATAGGTTGATTCAGCAGAGGCTGGTCCTGACAGTACTATCAGCGCTCCGCGATACGTAATAGGCCGTGCGGGTTTCAAAGATAGACGGAAACTATGTGAAATACAGATTTAATATCATGGTATATAATGGACACTGCCTCAGATAATGCATGTGCCTTAAGGGCGCCTGTTCTTGGAAAGCCAATGTCAATATCGCCCCGTAACATCCAGTTGCCCGATCTGCCACTCGTCCAAGAAATCGAATCCTAGGAAATCCACATCAAACAACGGATTACTTTCACGCTGCTCTAAGTGAGGCGAAACTCCGCCGACCTGTGTGCGCGGCGAAGCCTGGGCATCCGTCAAATCATTGCTTTGTGGGTGCGACTGTGCAGGTACCTGACCGAGATCGTTCGACGGAACCAAGTACAGATTTTTCTTGGAAAGAATCTCCTCGAATACCGGTAGCGCTCTTTTCAAGGCGGGTATTTCTTTCCCTTGGGTGAGAACAAGCATTGTCTGGCTGATGGATATCCGAGCCATGGAACGGACAAGATCTGTCTCGGTCGGATCGAGCGCCGATTCGATGTGCAGAGCGAGTAGTGCAGTTATGGTGGTCACGCTGATGAGGCCATTGTTAGTTCTATTGATGCGTTCCACAGAGCATGCCGAAAAAATGCGAAAATGGGAAGAAAGAGACAGCACTCACAAAGACATAGGAAAATCGTGAAGGGTGCCACTCGCCAATACCCTAATGGCAATCGTGTCCAACTCCAGAACAGCCGACCGAAGCCGCTGTTTGGCCCACTCGCTCCATTCCGTATGTCTGGACTGCTGCCAACAGCGTCGTATTAAGCGACACAAGACACACTCAAACCTGTAACTCATTGCTTGGATATTGAGATAGTACACATCAGTTCCAGTATTCCCACCCACGTGCATCCTGGTTACAAGAGACTTGCGCCATGCATCCAGTGGTTGCATCATTTGGCGAGGATCCTGCTGTGGCTTGATTGTCACAATGGACAAACATTTTCCAACTAAATAGAGTTAATCGTGGTCATAGGATTAGTTATAGTTTGAAAATAAAATGAAAATGGAATGAGAAAAGAGAATCAAAGAGAGCTAAGGCTCACATATTCGAGACAACTCGCAGTGGACAATGGGGTAGGCCTTTTGCTGAGGCGTGACAGCCGATAGCAAGCCGGATGATATTCCCGAGACATCCTCCGCTTCCCAGTCATCTTCTGTCCTAGGCTTGATCGCGGAGGTGTCTTCGAGAAGTCGTGAGCGTCTGGTATTAACAAAGACATGGAAAATGTCCAAAAACTACGTAGCCATAGTAAGTATAAAGCAGAAATAACAGAACACGGTGGGCGAAAAAAGGGACGTACGTGGAGAGCCCACCAGATCCTTCTGTACACCTTCAAGACTTTGCGGGGTTTATCTTCTTGAATACATCTGTTAGAGAGCTCCCAGGCAGTTAGTACACGCAATTTATGGCACAGATGTCACAGTCCAGGGTAGGAAACCCACGTGTTGCGTAGGTCAAGCTTGGTGGCCAGGCGGATTGCGTTGTGGAACCAGTAGCCAAAGTCCCAATCAGTGGGGTGGTCGAGGATCACCATGCACAAGATGATAGATCCCTGCAGAATCAACAACGGATCATCTTCGGCGGCAAAGTCGTGGAGCAGCTTAGCCTTAGAGAAGAACGACGCTTGTGCGGCTGAGCAGCTTGCAAAGCCGCAGGCAGATAGCACATCAGCCGACGCATGGAGACTGGCTGGTGTCAATATGGCGCGGAGTATAAACAAAGAGCAGTCGCCAGATTGATAGCCGCGAATGAAATCAGCTCTGTTGATTATCGGAGCAAAAGGGTAGACGTGGTCAAAGTATGTCTTAATGAGTGCATCTCTGTTGGTTTTGCCTGTGAGCAGAGTGGAGACGAAAACATGATGAGGATGGAAAAGGGACGATTCTCTCACAAATGATGGGGATGGGGTAGATCAAAGACACCCTTCTTCATAAGGTATTCATTGTCAATATCATCCAATTGGCGTAGCTTGGTCCATCGACAGTTCCGAGGAGTGAAACTGCCTTCCAGTCTTGACCGGTGGGGAGTATTGGGAAGGGTGTGATATCTACTACTTTCTGAGGTTTCTTCCACTGCGTCCTTTAGGATATTGAGGTAGAGCAAATCTGGCTCAGTTCGACGTATGCTTTGTCGGTCCAGGGAAAGAGACGATTGTTCTGACTCATTATCAAATGGGGTATTATTGGATATAGCCGGGACATCCGTAGTCTGTCGCTAGTTAGTGGGCATCCCAAATGATTATTCAAGGTGCAGAAGGAAATATGGAAAATAGAGATCTTTCGAATAATACTAATCCTCTAAAACATACTTGGCTAGAAGTTGGCAAAGGATGTACTGCTGTCCTATGAGCCCAAGTAATATTAGTACACACCCAACAAATCATGAGCTGTGAACTATCATATCACCAGCCAACTAACCTGGTCCGACCCTTTCGGGCAGGCAGTACGCATTCCTCGGCACATTGCCTGCTGGTACAGCTACTGCAGGGGAGGCCAATCACCGAAGCATCGCACTTTACCTTGCGTGCGCGGCAGGGTAAGCATGCCTTGTTGACTTTGAGGGCACGCTTCCTAGTTTCACCCGCCACCTGTGGCTCGCGACCAAAAGCAGAAGTATTCATTGAAGGGCAGGGCGGTATTTGCTGTAGCCTGCAATAGCGTGGGTGATCAGGATAGAAGGACCGGCGTGGAGTGACGGAGTTTTCCTTTATATTTTGAGAGTTCGGCATTTATACTTTAGGTGGCTCGGAAATTTTGTATATTGCCGAGCCTAGACCCACTATTAATCTTACCATTATTTCGCCGAAATACACCATGTTTGCCGTGACAGTAGTGTGATGTGGAAATTTACGTCCTTATAATCAGACATACTCGATTTTGACCTGAATACCGCCCAATTCGAGTGAGTGCCATACCTCGGCTATCTAGGTCCACCCGTCTGCTAATGATATTTCCAGAATCATCGCTACCGTTAAAGCCCATCTGAGGCACACATAGTGGCACATATCAGTCACTCACTTGGAGCGCACAAACAAGCCATTATCAGAGCCCGCATAGACGACCAGCAATACTCGCGTCAAGTGCGACAAAGGACAGGCTAATTTGCTCGAAAACATCGAAGGAAGCATGTGAGCTTGTTTGATAGGGCTGAGGTGATATTTTCAAGGGTATGAGTGAAGGTGCTACAGAACAGGCAGTCTCTTAATCGCTGCCTGGCCAGAAGCTTCCGTTCCCAGAATTTATACGATTTCACTGGCGAGAGGTACTCGAAAGACTTTATGGCACAGCTGATTGGTTGAAGGCCTTTGGCTTTTGCGAAGGTCTCAAGCAAAACTCCGCTTCGACCTCGTATTCGCTTGTGAGGCTGAGAGGCTGACCCACAGAACCGGCTCAATACGTGCACCGAGTGACTCCAAATTCTACCTGGTGATGACAGTCTCATCTATCTCTTTCTCCGAACGCGAACCAACTTACTGCGATCTCCAGGTTCGCCAATTCCGTTAGAGAAAAATCCACTTGTTTCTGTGCGGCATCTGTTATTCATATTCAGAATTGAATTTTCGAGTGGTTATTTACATGATACTCAAAGGCTTGATATGCTCAAACTGGTCAGGACAAGCTCCCTATGCCACGAGGATCAAGCTCATCAGGTGGACTCAGACCCTCTCAAAACTTGAATAAGGATTTTTCCATGAGATCTATGTGCTGACACCGCTGTCCATACTGCCTGCAAGCACCCGCCCATGCAGTGCCCCAGCGAGCCTGTAGTAGTCTCCGGAGTCCGGAGAAGCACTTTGGGCATTGGTAATCACGTGGATTAAGAAGGCTATGAGTGCTATCGAGGTATCGTACTTCAGACCACCATCGATGGCAATCGATACGCAGATCGTCAAGTCTTTGTAGGAATCAATCATCCTAGCAGAAATCAAATCATGGAGAAATACATTATTTTTAACAACTCGTCAATACTAAATCAATAATGAATACCTCAGATATTTCATTAATCACTGTTACTACGTGTCCTTCTCAACCGGAGTAGAACGACTCGTCAGGTCAATCGAAATAAGTTCTCTGAAGAGCTGACAAAGGGTTGATGCTTAGGGTCATCTGTGTCAACGTAAGCTAGCAATGTCCAGCAGAGCCAGAAGTAGAAGCAACACTTGGATAGACGACCTCGCTAATCATCTATCCAGGATTTCCTAGTATAAACCCGCTGCATTCGTTGACAATGAGCCACTTTCAACCCCCCTAGACCTTAAGACGTGCTGCAACGGTCGCTTTGCTTCTTTTCATAATGCTCACTGTTGGCGGAGGAGCCGTTGTGCCACAAAGGTTCGAGGGAATTGGAATAAAAGCGGTTGGACCGCTACCGATCTAGGATATCCACAGTTAGTATGGTTGTTTGACAGACTCACACTACAGTAGAGTATACAGTACATACCATGGTTGCAAGACTCTCACTCGCCACACTCGATGCTGCCGGCACACACTTGCCATAATAGTCAGCAGCCGCAGGCTGGACTCCTGTCTGACCCTCCAAACAACAAATAGGATCTTTGTTGGTTTCCCACAGCACCCAGCTCGTGTCTGCACACCGGCTGTCCAACGCAACTTGGAAGCCGCACCCGGCCTCCTCGGGACAACAGATGTTGGAATTGGTGTTCTGCTCAGTACCACACCAAGAGTTGTCCGGGCAGCAGGTGGCTTTGCCGCAACGGAAGGTGTTCTTGGGACATTCAGTGGGGATACTAAGGGCCCAGCCGCGATAGAGGGGGCTGGTGTCACGCTTGAGGTGGTGCGGAACTCCAACTGCACGTTCCTTAGAGCTAGCTCTGCAGTCTGCCAGACTGAAAAAGGAGAAGACCATGAAAGCCACGAAAGTGCATAGTGAAAGTTTGAGGGTCATGTTGCTTGAGCCAAATGTCCGGCGACTTGGCTGAAGAAGTGAGCAAGAGTTGATGAGGAAGTTTGGGGGATCGATAGGATCCAACGTGCTTTTACATAGCCCAAGTCCAGTAGACATACTTCCCGTTGCCAAAGATTGATTCGACTTTTGGAAGTTCGAGTTGAACCTCAGCTCGAAAGAAGCTGGTTACCTACTAGGTAAGTTTCGTGTTGTGGGATCCGCTTTAGGTACGGTGTTGAAACAGCGACCCTAGAGTGAGTCCCATGACACCCGAATCGCCTTTCGATGCACATTCCGATTGGGCTCAGCGCGATAGCTAGCTTTCCATGCATTTGCAAGTCTAGAACATCATTCGTGGTGGGAAGGAATGTTGTATCTTTGCCCGCTGTGGTACAATTCTTCCGCACGAGCGACCAATTTGTCGTTAGTAATTTGTATTCAATCCGCTTCATGATTAAGCCTTCGCCAATCCGGACCTTGGAAGGGGTTTCAAAGCTTCGCAAGGCTTTTGGGCATGATTCAGCTGACCTAGAACATGAGGCTGAAAGGGAAGGTTTCTGTCGTTTGATTGGTCAAGCCTTCCGGTCCTGCAGCATGACTGCCACAAGATACTTTGAGCTCGTATTGTGCCGCAAAGGTGAATTAGCCAAACCTTACAACCGAGAATAAACAACAGGCCAGTCAAACTAAATCCTTCGAAAAGATGAGTGGCGAATCTCAAGATTTCAAGGCGTTTAATTCTGGATCGATCAGGATACTTGTAGTTGATGGAGAGTGGCAGCGTGTCGCATGCGTGCTGATTTAAGCATCTATGATTGCAGACTTTTACGACGCAACATGATTTTTCCCAGTGGTGGTCGCCAGTCTCATGCAATGGATTGTCACTGTGCCTATTTTCGACCCAAAATTATTGTTTGAATTGTCTATAATGTGGTCGCAGCTCTAAGATTGGCTGCTGTAGAAAGGCCTGGGACTGAAAGCCATTTCGGCTGCGCCGATGTCGAAAACAGCCAATACGTTATTCAGGAACGTGTCACCAAGGATGTAGTGACCGACGGGGCCTGATTGAATGCCACTAATGCAGAGTCCACCAGGTATATCTTCATCGAGGATCAGGTCCACTGGATTGAGCTCAAACAGCGTTCCTCCGATCCGAATACCCATATCAGGGGCAGTGGCGTTGCAGTTCACAAGATAAAGTCCCTCTTCCACTCTGGCTGGGGGATCGAATAGGCCGTTGATGACTTTCGAATCTTGAGTCGGGACGTACATGAGGGTGGTCCCTGAGTCAACAATATATTGGTGGGAGGTAACATTGACGCCGTCGTAGACGAGGGTATCGATAGTGATTGTGTAGAACTGGAGTTCTGGGTGGGTAGGATCGATTAATTGTGGCTTGGACGGCTCAATAGGCTTCACCGTGAAGGATCCTGTGGCATTGATGATGGGGTCGTGAGGGTGTGGGATCCCGCCAATCGCGAGCATACCGCCTGGCGATGTATTGCGCGATGAACGTGAGAGTGCAAGGCTGAACATTGGCCGGGACAGCTGGTCAATGAAGATCGTGTTCAGGATGCTGGAATAAGGCATGTTGTTGCCGGTAATATTACCAGTGATTTCGTCGTTGGAGGAATTGGTTCCGGGAAATGCATTGGTAATGGACGAATAAGCCAGCCCGACAAGTCCGGAGGAAATGCCATCGCCAGACCAAGCAGCGAGCAAAGGAAGGGCGACTTCTTGATTTTTAATCTCGATTCCGGCGAATGTTACTCTCTCCAAGCCCAGGGTACCATATAGATATTCACCATCACCATAGCTAGTGTAGAAGTTCTCGTCGGGGATGTCAATAAAAGAATCGCCTGGGACATAGCCTGACGAGCCGAATCCACACGTCGAAGCCGGTAAGGTAGCATTAGTAGTCTGGTTGACACAAGTAAATCCGGCTTTGATAAGCCATGTATCCGAACTTCCAGTGTCAATGATTACCGGGAACTCTTGGGTGCCGAATGTAATGTTCGCTACAAAGGCGGAGCTAAAGTCGATGCTGGTCAAAGCTGCCTCCCCAAGCCGTAAAGCGTAGTTTCGCAGATGCCAGGAGCTGGTTTTGGCGTGGGTTTTGGCAGCCTGCAGTGCTGTGGTTTGGTGTGTGTGGAGATACTGACTGACCAAGGCACTTTTGATGGGGATGGCGACTCCGACAGTCTGGTGAGCTGCAAGGGAAATGAGAACTGAAATCTGCAGTAACCTCATGGTGGTGTGGAAGAGGCGGAAATGGGTAAGGAAAGGCTAATGCTTTGCTGACGAGGACAGAAACGCGGCACGAAACTACAAAGCTCGTCCTTTGGTGATAAAGTGTGGCCCGCTCAAGACAGAGAGACATTTACAAGGGAAATCAGGAGCATTTTTATAATATTGGTCCTGGTGATGACTGGTTGGAACGCCAGAATACGAAGCATCTCGATCGAAGGGTGACCAATCGAGGATTGTTGGTAGCTTCCACCTTTGAATAGTAGTTCCGTGTGCGTGACGCCTAGAATCGGCGCGCGTCAATGGTCGCCGGAGTCAAGGCATTGTCAGAGGCTCCAGCGTTCCGAACGTTGGACGTAATAATCAAAATGTGAGAAAATGTACCTGGTACTCCGTACGAAGTACTTGTAGTTCTTTAGGCCTTATCACGTGGCGACCAGTCTAGTTTAAGTCTCGAGACGCGTTATTAGTGGTCGGGAAACCTTCTGGGTCTGTCAAGTGGTTGCCAGCATCTTCAGCATGCCCGTTGCGTCAAGTCCGCACTCAACGAAGCCAACCTCCTTAACCACAACCATGTCATCCCATCCGAATTGGTCGCGATATACAAGCTGTTCGCCGCATGTTTTCGCTAATGGATATGATGCGGACCAGCTGTCTAGGGGCGCTTGCATCAATACTGCCCGCGTCACTTTCTGCCACGCAGATGTGCATGCAATCAAGTGTGTCCTCCACGAAGCAATCAGTGTCCGTTTTTCATATCTTAACCCACCATGGCCGATCTGGCTCAATGATTCAACAACTTGGTGCGAACTGATGGCCACCTCTCCCTCGTCAATGCTCGCAAAGATTAGGCTCTCGTTATATCTTCTCATCATATCGTCATAGAGCGGCTGGTCCCAACATTCCACTGGCGTCCAAGAGTGACTCAGTATATCAAAGCGACATCCCTTCGTTCTTGCTGACGCTTCCGTACCGCCACACCCATACTCGGCGTGCAGTGGCGTTAAGTCGCTGGTAGCAGTACTGAGCCTCGCTGTATCCTCGAGGGTTCGCGTCTCTTCGTCCGATACACCGAGAGCGAACCCAACGGCAAGGAGGACAAGAAACGCGACTGCTCCCAATGCTCCCGCATACACGACATCCCCAAACCGTCTCTGGCGGTGCTGCCGACATGACTTGGCCGATGCTGGCCCAATTTGTTCTTCATCCAAGCCTTCCACGCTATCCGCGTCGCCTTCCAGATCAATTTTCTTGAATCCATACGAGAGACTGTCGAAGTCGAATGGCGGCTCCATGTTCGCCACAAATAGGTGCTCCAATGATGTCGAACGTCCGTCGATAATAAGACCTGGTGGTTAATTAGCCAGGATGACTTCGAATATTGAGCAGACCACGTTGAGTTTGATTTCAAGTGAAATGGGCATGTGTCTTTGAAGAATACTACAGCAGATCAAAGCGTCCAAGTCGCGCACGACACGGTAGAGCACCTTCGACCCATGCCAGTCTGCAAACTGAAGGACCCTGCCAACCTTGGTTTTGTTCTTGAACACTGCAGCTTATCATGTGGAGCCACTAAGCCGCGCGTTTCGCTCTGGGCTATATAGTGCAGGCACAAAATTAAAGTTACAAAGCTTTAATCCCTGACACGTCTGCTAAGATATTGTGGTAACGTCTTGCGAGCTAAAGGATCGTATCTGTGATCTTCAGTCTTTCGCACCAAGAGTATTTCATACTTCCTTGTTCTACAGGGAGTCTCGAATACCAGGCCACCTATCATCCTGTCTTTGTGCGAAGCGTACGCCATCCACAACATGGTCTGGCGGAAGTCCAACTTGATCATGTTTGCCCTCGGTGGCTTCATTGCCCATTCATACGCTCATCTCATCTCTCCAGCAACTCCGACGCAAGACATCATCCACTGCGGTTCAAGTATTGACAAAGCCCGCTCTCTGGGCTGTCACTTTGACATCATGTCATATGCCTATTATCCCGATGCATGCTGGGATCCACATCTCCACGACTCATTTGTGCACAAGTATCGCAGACAATGGGAATGGTCGACTCTGGATAACGAGACTTTGACCGTCGACCAAGTTCTCACAGGCAATTACAGCCACTTGCGCGCCAAGTCCGACTTTCATCAACTACATTGCGTCTACGAGTGGCAACGTTTGATCCGCTCACTATCGTTTGGACGACCCCTGGACTTCAAGGATGGCGATTTCGGTCACGCTCATCACTGTTCCATGGGCCTTTTGCAGCCACAAACGAAGGACGTCAGCGATGGCGGTCCCACGTATTTGGAGCTAATTGTTTGGTTCGCCAGATGCGGCATGACAGCAGATCAGATGATAGAAAAGAGCGGTCCGGACATTCTATGACTCTTAGAACGACTCTAGCCAAAGACAGGAGTGCAGCGCGCTGCTTTTTCCTTCCTGTCCTCGAACGTTGAACTGAGTGAGTCGAGGCTATGGGTGTTGGGGCCATGTCAGCTAGTATTAGATTTTGTCACACTGTCTACTTTGCATCATCACAAGACGTTGCCTCAATAGATACTGAACCAATCTACACTGCGAAAAATCCTTCCCTTCCTCAGCCTGGAAAATGGAAACATGTATTTGCGAAAGAGCTTTCCAACCGAGGAACACGAACCCCGCCTTTCCAGGCTTCCTTCTCTATGCGCGGGAAGGATTCACTAGCCCCTCCCCGCTGGTACGTGCTTGCAGCTGAAGAATAATACCTACCCGCTGCAAGCATACGGGTACGCCTATATGTCTCCGGTCGGTCCGCTAGCCCAACGCGCATTCGTTTAGGCGCGAACCACTCGTGGGAGGCTCTGCGCGCGAGGGATCGATATGCTTAGTCTTGCTAGATGTATAGCCTAATGCTCGCGCGCTGGTCACAGCTTCGGGCCCGGGTTCATTATTGTTGCGGCACATCTCTAGGATGAATTTCGGCCTATGTTATGCCGAATACTTCCTTCTCCATTCACCGTGCTAGGCCACGCCTTAATGCAGGGCAACCTTGCGCCGGCGCCAGCTCGGGGCGGCCCGAGAGGCGGGGCGCAGTGGAAACAATTCGAGCAAATGCTGCCTCATTCTCTGTAGTTCGCCAATGTGCTAAAACAAGGAAATCTGATTGATATGGCACGACAAAATTTCAACTGCAGCATCCTCCCTCACACGGGTCTCGTACGCTACTGAAACTTAGTGACTGCCATTACCTTTTGTCGAGTTACAATTATAGCAGGTGTTGCGCGAGTCTTTGAGGTTTTCTGATCCCGGACCTGAAAATGCCGTCAAAAACAGAACATTATCAACCACTTGCATCTACCGACATCGAAAGCAACCAGAGACCCTCCAGCGACGAAGGCTCAGAAGTCACCTTCAGCGGCGAGTTTGAGAAAAGTCGCAGGAGGAGGAAGATATGGGTTCAACTGAAAGAGATATTATCGAGATGGAATCTGATGGGCTCGCCCAGTGCCGGCCTCATCATTTCTTGGACCACGTCAGCCATCCTCGCCCTGTTCATTCTGTACAATCTTCACTACAACTCAGGCCCGACGAACCCACTCTTCCCACAAATTGCTTGGTGTAAGTTACGAAATTCTGTGACGAAAGCTCCTATTTAACAGTTGTCCGAGCAGCGCCACTACAGCACCTTCTTGAATACGACGTTAAGGTCTTTAAATCTGCGTTCGGCGGAGATATAGACCGTCGATACCAAGGACCACCATCGCCGGAGATTGATGCGAACTGGGACGATCTGTACAACTGTAAGTGGCTGCGGTCTCGATTTGGTTGTCTCTTTTTGTCCCATGCCCAGGAACTGATCCACAAGTGATTGAATAGTCGGGTCGACTATGCTCAATACCTACGAGGCGGCGCATCTTCCGAACAAGACATGGCCAATCGTTCAGGAGCCGGGAAATTACATTGCCGTCATCGACGTCTTCCACCACTTGCACTGCCTTAACATGATCCGCAAAGCCTTACATCCAGAATACTACGTTCCTCACGACTGGAGTGATGCCATTCAAGAGGACAACCTTTTGGGAGAGCTCCACCTCGACCATTGTGTTGACTCTATCCGACAGTCTTTGATGTGCATGTCGGATGTCAGCGTTATTCCATGGCAATGGGACACCAGTGACAGCACCTCTAAGCCAGTGGGAAATGTGAGTTGTGCCTTTCTCGCTTGCCTCGGGTAGTCGCTTGACCCCAGTTCTGACAGACGTGCAGATTGTGCATACATGCCGCAATTTCGACGCTATCCGAAGCTGGGTTTACGACAGAAGAATGATTGTTGATTTTGATAAATACACCGACATGAGACACGATCCACTTGCTGGAGTCTTCGATTGGAGCAACATGGGGCAGCCTGGAATCTAGTCACATTAGCATCCAGAGGTTGTATCACCGCTGTCCGCAGCCAGCAGGCAAAGGGGCTACTGGCAATTGTACCCATTTACTTGCAGCTAGGCATTCAGCGGTGCATGATCTGGCAGAGAGAGTGCATGCGCAACAAAGACCTTTGAGAAACACCTCACAATATCATGACAGCGAACGGGCATGGGCAGAGAAATGCCTCTAGCCTCGGTTACTGGACAGTTGCAGTTGGGTAAGTAGATCTGAAGACCATAGCTGAAAATAAAACATCGGTTTTCAAGTTTGTGAAGGGGCCAATTGTGTCCATACGGATGATGTGCAGTAGTGTGCGCCAGCAGACCCTGCAGATCATTCCTGATTTCGCTGTTGTCCTAAGACCCCAGTCATCTCACAACAGGGTTACAACAAAACCAATCAAGTATACGAAACCCCTGGTCCTCACTACCTTATCGCGCTCATTTGCCCGATCGGGCAGCCCCCATAAGCGACCGCTCACAGATACACGTAGGGTCGTATTCGAAATCCTACCGACGCAATCCAGCCACCCCCACCAAGCACGACGTGCATATGTAAGCTGAGATCCTTCACCCTTTTGCAGATGCTTTCGAGGACAACCGGGAGGCTTTAGCAGCTTCTCCGCCGGGAAAACAGTCTGGACCCCTGAGTCAATAAAGATGAAGTACTAGTACTCGGGAATCTGTACAAAAGCAATTCTACCCCTCGGCTAGAGACATAAGCTCTGGTCCTTGCTGACCGTGCCGCCAGCTGAGGTCCCTAGCCCAGTTTTTAATGGCCGCTCGTTACGGCGCAACTCTTTCCCTCTCAAGGGAATATGGCAACTTTGGCCCTAGCGAAGAGCATCTTCTCCTTTCCACACACAGACGCTGCGAAGGGATACCGGCATCCAACGCCTCTTCACAGCTGCAAATCCCTGCTTTGCTGGGCAGGTGAACTGCGTAAAAGTCGTAAATGTTGAAGACTAAATTCGACATTGTGCACGTGAGAGGTGATTGATTGATCATTGGTCGTTCGATGTGCTTGTATATCAGAGGTTCGCTCCTTCTTCTTCTGTCTCTGGAGTCTGGAAGAGAATTCACATCGCCTCTTTTTCGGCCACTTTCCTTATCGCCACTTTTCTCGAAGGATTGGCACCTTTCCATTTTGAGCCCCATGGCGAATCCCTCAAAGTCAAGACTCGACAGTGGGATCATGCCATCTCTACTTGTATCACCATACGCCGGCTTCATGGGCCTCAGGTTAAGTGAACGCCAATAGTATCCCGCTGTCAACAACGCGCTTCAAGTTACATATGCCTTAGAGTAGCGTAAAAATCAGACGGGCGTGGCCGCCGTCAGCCGGACCCGCGTGATGCGTAGGACAAGCATTTTGTTTTTCAGCAGAATTTTGGCGCTACAAGTCTGCTTCGCTACCACAATGAAGCGGTCATGAATATGTTGGCTGGGCATTGTATATAGGCCACAGCCGGCTCCCGGCTCCCGGCTCCCCATTCCGACCTGGTTTGCGAAGAAGATCGAAAGTCAGTCGCGATGCCGGATGTGCGAAGTACGCGTGGCTGTTGGACTTGTCGTCTGCGAAGGAAGAAGTGTGACGAAACACCAGGCTCGTGTGCTACCTGCCGTAACCTTCAGCTCGAATGCGATGGGTACGGTGCACGCCCAAGCTGGATGGATGGCGGCAGAGTTGAGGACAGCTATCGCAAGTACGTGAAGATTCGCATCAAAAGCAGATCAGGTCCTCGACGCCGAACGCACCCCGACTCAGAGCGATCCTCGTGCACAGAGTCCGAGCGGTCTTCGTCTTCGTCTGAAGTCCAGCTAGACGACCAACGTCGCGTTCTATCTAGCCCTTTCCAGTGTCCATCCTGGCCGGATCCGATATTGAGCCCGTCATTCGACCTCGCTGCTTCTTTTGCGGATTATCTTCAGCCTGGCCGGCGCGACCCTCAGAGACCTGAGGTAATATCTGGCGAAGGCGGTGTCGCTGGAATGGCATCATCCGGCGCCTCCGCCCTCGAAGTCAACGCACTTACCGTTGGCGCAACCCCAGAACGATTTTCGTGGATTAACGGTCACTATGCTCGAATTCCAGAGTCCTATAATGATTACTCTTCCCGACTGACTGACGACCCTCCGGCACTGCTAATGCACTATCTCGACCATGTCTTCCACTTACAATACCCTCTGTTTTCCAAAACCGCTGTCATACACAGTCGCAGTTGGGTGCTGGATATGATGTACGAGTGTGCCTCATTCTACTGGCTGGTTCTAGGTCTTGCTTCTTACCACAAAGAGTCAACTGCCGCTACCAGTAACCAGTATTTGGGACCATCAGAACCCGGTCAACTTGCTGGTTGGAGAGTATACCATGCTTTCGGGCTCCACGAATTCCGGCAGACTGTCGCCAGCATGGGTCAGGATAATTCTGTGGATGCAGGGACTGGTAAGGTTGAGAAGGGTCTGCAGATTCTGGCCTGCGTCGTGCAGTTCTTGTCCTTCAAGGTATGTTTGCTGAGAGTGAGATTCGGTGGAATCTTCACTGACATTCGGCGGCGCAGCTCCTTGGGGCCTCGGTGGAGGAAACTGGCGTACACCGTGGCGCCGAGGTCTTTTTGTTTGATGTAGTCAAAGACTGTGCCCATCTAGGCCAACCATCCAGCGAGACTTCTCAAGTCCAGCAAGTCCCAATCAGCACCAGCATGAAACATCAAAGCCTCCCAATCTTCGTCAGCAGCATCATTTGGTATGCCGCTCTGTCGTCTTTATCAATCCGAGAGCCCCCGTTTGCGGTCCGCATCCTAGACCTCGTGGAGAATACGCCACTCTTACAAGTCCGAAGCTCCTTTGGCTGTGAGACGTGGTTGATTGTGAGTCCCAATCAAGTAAGCGACCTCGACGCATGGCAAGCCCAGATGGCCGCCGACAACTGCCTCAGCCGCCTGGAACTCAGTACCAAGGCCGAAGTGATCTGGCTTCAACTCGAGCGGAATATGGAGATGTCGACAAAAGCAAGCTCCAGCAAAGCCCAAAAGGCTCCGCTAGGCGGCGAACTCGATCTCGATGCCATCTCTTCTATCGTCACGGCTGCATACGCCCGAACAGTCTTGGTTTACCTGCACACTGTGGTATCTGGGCCATATCCCAAGCTCCGCGAAGTTTCGGAAAATGTTGAACACATAATAAACCTTCTGCCTCATCTGGAATACTCTTCGCTGTTTCGGCTGATCAGCTGGCCCATATACATCGCCGCTGCCATGAGCGATTTCGACAATCGACAGTGGTTCGTAGAGCAGTGTGAGTCCTTCCCACAGGCTGACTTACAGGTTGTGCAAGCTCGCCAGCGCGTGGAAAAGTGCTGGGAGTTGCGGGACTCAGGGCCATTGGCTTGCGATTGGGTGGCGGCGTTCAGGATGGAGACAAGCCCTTTATGACGATTTCGCATTTTCCAAGAGGAGAATGGTCGACGCAAATTCACATATATATGTAGTAGGTGGCAACGAATGCCAAGTATCTAAGGACTATCGCGACTGGGTCGGCAATGAATCCCCCCTACTCTGTTTTATTTCGAATCCTCTTTTGCAATCGACTCCACTGCCCAACACATGTCCGCCCTTATATGATTAAACTTGCAAATCAATGAGCATTATTGACGTCGAAGCCGACTGAATTCTGAGCCCGGTCCACATTGACATGTCACTATCTGTGCCTAAACCGGTTTTGTCGGTGTTCTGTTCAATGCCCTCTCACCGTTTCGATTCCAGTCCACGATTCTGTCAAAGTTCCGGCACTTGTGCATCACATCGAAGTTTGGGTTGGGAATGTCTTTTTTCGCGCTCCACGTATAGGTGAGCACCGACACGTCGCCGTAGCACATGACATTGCGACGAAGCATTTCAAGACAATGATCCATGTGCATGCGGACGTTGTCGGGCGTGTCCAGCAGCGCCCTGTCAGACGCGTAGTAGTCTGAATAGACGAACTTGCGAAGCATGTTCTGTCAAGTCGGGCTCTCGGCCCGACATAGAGTCAGTGCCTGCTTCTCTCGTCCACATCGAAGATACGCACAATGCAATGCAATTGGTGGAAAACCTCGAGGAAACCGAGGTATTCACCACCCTCCTCTTCTGTAAAATGGACTGCTTTGGTGGCTGAATGTCTGAGCTTGTCAGTGACTTCGACTTCTGTCAGCGCAAAAGGCCGTTCTGCGCGATCGCGATCAGTCACCAGCCTTGCCCATTCTGCCCTTGCCCAAGTGTGCAAAGGATACTTTGCGACTCACCTGCTACAAGATCATCCCAATTTGCGTCGATTTCAGGACTTGGCAGGCCACCATACTGGATTGACTCATCGAAGAGGGAACGATAGTTATATTCGATAGCATCGAGGGCGGGAGCTTACATGTTTGATCAGTAACTTCATCATAGATTCCAGCCCCAAGCTTGCTGGTCAGCGGAAGGGCGTAAACTCACACCAAGCCGAGATCTCTCGTAGGCACGATGACATGTCAGTTTCCGCGAGGTGGAAGATATATTGCGCTAGTATCAAGATGAAGAGCAGGTTCAGAAATAAGAATGCAGTATTGAGTCGACACAAGAGCCTCTACACCGGCGCTGCGGCCCACCGTGGGCTCGTCTTTGTGGACTCGGTTTGGAATTCTTGTTCGTGCTTTAGTAACGAGGCCTGTGCGGTCCCAAGCTCTGCCTCAGGATCTTGATCGTCATGGAAAGATGTCATCCTCATGAGCTTCGTCGGCGACATTGCTCATGAGCCAAGGTGCAATGATAGATAGCTACTGAGCAGGTTGAAGGGGTATGTGGGAGTTGATAGTCCAGCTTCAGCGTGTCAAAGAAATCCTCGGGGACCTCGATGGGCTGCATGTGTATCGCGCATCACTCTGTGGGTTGACCTCTAGAGATGAGATCCGTCTCGACGAGCAACAGCATCTTCTGACCATGGCTGGTATGCGAACTGCAGCGGGCATGGCATTGTGAAATTGCACTTGCCGACTGGTGTTGCATTTCATCGTAGAGCTGGATTTAGCCTCCATATAAGCATCTCCACCCCTGTAGGATCAACCGTGCGTCAGCTCGCGCGCGATCGACAATGTTCTCCACTATGTTACTGTGAGTTTCTGCGGCCACGTAGCTGACCTCCAGATCTCCTCTCCTCAGGCTGACTCAACACGGCGATGCGGCCCCGAGCGAGCGCGCGCTGAATCCTTCCAGGGATCTGCCCGCCTTACCATCAGATGACTAGCTTGCCAGTTGCGATCGCTATTGTCTTGTAGACTGTCTCACGCTCATCGATCGCTCGTCGACAGCGATCACTCTATGTGGTGCCGGATAGTGTTCGATTTGGACAACTAGACACAGTCTGGCACATATGTGGAACCAAGGCCTTGCGGCTCTGGTAGTCCTCTGGCTGCAAGCGTTGGCAGCGAATGAGAGCTTCAAAACGACTAATTGAAGAAACTGGTATCTATTGGATTGCTACACAGTTCGTGAAAATTTCAAACGAACGTGTTGTCTAGGCAGGTGACAAGCCCTGGTAGAGTGACCGTGCTTTCACGGGAGTTTCCTTGTTGGACTTCTCCAATGCTCGATATATCTATTATAAGGTAGTTAACAGAAACGTCTGCAGAATTGGCTATCTAATGTCCATGCTTCAATAGCGGCTGGAAAAGCACGGCGTCGGGCGGCTTCGTAGGCATTGTGTACATCTTGCGCGGCGTCTCGTTGACCCAATCAACTATCGCGTCAAATTTCCGACATTTGTGCCTCGTCTCGAAGTCCGGGTCTGGCCACTTTTTTTCTGCAATCCAGTGGTGAGTCATGACGCTGACATCGCTGGTGCACATGAGATTTATGCGTAGCACGTCGATGCAATGATCTGAACAAATAACAATCTTGTCAGTATATGTCATGCTCTCATGAGTGCCGCATACCTAGGTGGCTCCGCAGCGTGTCTGCCGAGTCTAGAAAGGAGGGATAAGTGCTGGCGTAATAATCCCAGTGTGTGTAACGCCGGAGCATATCCACGCAGTGGAGTTGGTGAAAGACTTCTAAGAAGCCAGTGTAGAGTTCTTCGCCTCCTTGCTGAAGATGAACAGCGTAGACTGGATCCTTTCCTAGCTCGTTAACCAACTCGTCTCTCGAGAGAGTGATTCCGGGTTCTGAACGATGGCCAGTGTCAGCACCCAGCCGCATTCTAATCATCATGGCCGCGTACGATTCGTAATGGCATCCCAAGCGGCATCCACCTCAGGAGAGGGGGCACTCCGATATATGGTTGAGGCATTGAAAGCAGCTTTGAAGGTATCCAGCTCATACTCGACGGCGGAAATGGCCGGGGCTTCAACAGAAGTCAGTAAGGGGGTGATAAAGCAAGGATTCCGAGAGAAAAGCCACGTACACCAGGTGGACAGTGCTTCGGCACATCGTCGCTCATTTGGTCCAAATGTGTAAATTGTCCCCAAGAAGAGAAGGATGGTACTGTACGATAAGAAGATCAAGGTATGAACCAAGGCAGCTTGTATGTTCGGCAGCGGCTTTCGAGACCTTGGATTCCACCGCCGTAGCTCCTCCTCTTCTTGCTTGTCTATCAAAGGTTCTGCTGCTGAGGTTGGAGACTCACTGCGTCCTATGGTACGCACTTTCAAAGGCAGAGGCCACAGTTGGCGTTGCTGTCGCCATGATTCCAGTAGTCTCATAGGGACACCAGTGATGGGAAGGGGGGTAAGAAGTGGTGCTTGGGAGAAACAACTTTACGACCTGAAGAGGGGATTGAGGTCGAGACAGGAGGTGCCTGGTGAGAAGCTGAGGTTAGCATTATGAAAAAAGTTTCAGCTCCGAGATCACATCATAGCAATGGTAAACAGTGCGACTGTCCATAGTCCGCCTCAAGCTTAATCTCCCAGAGCCCGCCCAAGGCATCTCACACAGGAAGATCCCAGATGGCTAGTGAAGTCCAAATCCGGCGCTCCGCAAGCAATTTTCAGCGACTCGACGCGTGTCGCGGGCGGCAAAGACTGAGCGACACCTGCTGAATCGGGCGCAGTGAGCTACGCGCCGGAGAATAATAGAAGGGCGACTTTGTCACTGGCCATTGTGGAGTAGTACCAGCAGCACACCGTCTAATTCTTGAATAGTAATTGATATGGTGCTTCGAGGCCCACGACGTGGCATTAATCAAGCACGGTTCTGTTCCTCGGGCGCAGCTGCGGAGTTGAACGTCTCGCCGTAGTTGCCTTAATGGCTCGACGACTTGATCCTTCGACTCTACACATCCTCTAGCCGTCTCACCCTTCACTCCATGCCCTGCGTGGTGCCGCAGCTTGTGCATTTCGCTGAACCGTCGTTCGCCAGGCCTCATTCCCCTATTGTGCGCGCCAGTCTAACACGGTATCGTAGCCCCGCTGTCGTCATTTTGATGCGGCGGTTTCTCTTGTATGCCTTCCTCAGCCCCTGCACCAAGCTCTGGACTTGGTCTGTACTCGAATCGCCAGCAATATTCCCTGCGCCCTCCATGTCATGTCTCCTACGTCTGCCACGCCAGTGCTGTAGGCTGACAACATAAGCCCACAATCACCTTCGCACGCGCGAACCTTACAGCTAGATGACGGCGCAATTACAACCTCATGACCTAGACAGGGCGATGGTACAACGACTTCCGGGCACATTACCGCCGTAATGCTCAGAGACCTGCAATTATGCTCTCCAGCAGTGAGGTTGCCGGATCTGAGAATGTCAGAGCGCGATACGCGCGAAATCCTGAGATTGCCGAACACGCTCGCAACATTCCAGGACAGTCTCTGAGAACGGAGCCTTTAGCAAAGGTATGTGTTTTCAGATAGGTCTCGATCTGGAGTTTTGAAAGTGCCTACTTCCGGGAAGCACCTGGTCTATAAGGTATATATTTCGAGATCTCTCGGCCTCAACTTGAGTGTACATCATCTTCCAGCTCAGCGAAGTGAAGCGAAAACCAACGCACAGTCTCCAAGTTGCGACTACCTCTTTAAGGACCCCAAGTCTCTCCAATACTTTGCATTTTGTTCCCGCTAGCTATTCCAGCTCTTGTTTCAGCAAAGATGAAGTTCTCTGAAGTCTGTCTTGCGACGGTGTATGCCGCGAGTATGGCAACCGCGGCGCCGGCTCCGGCTCCGGCGGTGAGCTTCCAAACCTCACGAGCCTACCATATCGCCGACAGGACACTGATCAATCTACTATAGGACCTGGACAAGGATCTCCTCCTTGCGGGCTGGGGCCTAATTCGCTACGACGACGCCAAGGTCAAGCGCGACGTGGTGAGTCATTTCCGGGAATAACGAAGGTAGAATATACTAAAGATTACTAGGATACTGACAGTGGATTTTTGGGTGTATGGGCACCTAAAGTCGATATTCCTACCGACTCAAAGACTAAACGCGCAGTGAGTATAAGATATATACTCTATCTAAAAGCGAGTATATACTGATTATACTTCTCTAGGAGCTCGATAAGGACCTCCTCCTTGCGGGCTGGGGCCAAATCCGCTACGATGACGCCAAGGTCAAGCGCGACGCAATTGAATCTAATCTTTTCGGCTGGTTGATCGCTGTTGCGGATTATGATGGAGAGGACGCCAACCTCATCGCTAAGCGTGACACGCTTGAATCTAACCTTTTCGGCTGGTTGATCAGTATCGCGGACTATTCTGGAGAGGATACGAATCTCATTGCCAAGCGCGATGCGATTGAATCCAACCTTTTCGGCTGGTTGATCGCCGTCGCAGATTATGATGGAGAGGACGACAACCTCATCGCTAAGCGCGACACGCTTGAATCTAACCTTTTCGGCTGGTTGATCGGCATTGCGGACTACGACGGAGAGGTTGCCGTTGAAGCAGCTTAAGCGCTCCAGCCTAACAAGTGTTGCGGATGAAAATCCGATGGATATGGCCGAGCATTTGACGATTGCAGTTGTGGAAGCTTACAAGGCTTTTTGAATTGAAATGAGCGCGGCGGGGATCTCGGATTTTTCCGGACACGCCGCAAATGCACGGGATTATTTCAATATGAGGGCACAAAAATCATGATCTGAAGCATAGGAGGTGAGGGAGGAAATAGGAAACTGGGACTTTGGATGTGTTCTTGTTTCTTTACGGGCAGAATCAATAGACTGGGTAGATGGGAATACAAACACATTCATTTTCCAGACTTCACGCATCCAATAGTCTCAACTATCCCTGGCCTGTTCTGGAAAGATATCTGTCTACTTGATTATCTTATTTGACCTAGCTCATGCATCGATACACCGCACAGTCATATGAGAACAACTTCATTCAGTAAACGACCAAATTACCTTCTTGAAGTGGCGATAGAACCACTGACCACGTTTACACTGGGTTCATCCTTCAGTATGGGATGGGCCTACTCTCTCTATACGGTATGATATTTAGTAGGATACGTCACTAGCGAATGTAATAATCATTCTCAGACGCTAAATAAGATCGTGTCCAATGGGAAGTGGCGAGGAGAGTGTCCAAGCTGTAACTTGATTTAAGGGAGCTGGTTGATTCTCAGAGCCCAGTGACTTAAATCCACTATTCAGGCCTACCGCCATGCAGTCTCTTCGCCATGACTTGCCAAAATGTTTAAGTGGGGTGAGAGCGAGCTGGAACGAAATGCATGGTATACGATAGGATGAATACCCCTTCTCACTGGTAGGAAGTAGAGGGACTATCCAGCAATGCAATAGTGCTGAGACGCCAAGATCTTCCGGAGATTCCCGTGACGCACAAGCCTATCGAGTATTCCCACAAGGCTGCCGTCCACCGAGCAGCTGCAGCTTGGAAATCTGCACCTCCTTGTTCACATTCAGATACTGACTTCGCGATCTAATGCTCTCCCCAAACAGGTTCAACAAAGCCGGTGCTGCACAAAGCAACAGCGCTATGACACCCAGCAAAGTCCCAGCCCATCGGAAGCCCAAACGTGTGCACATTTCCGGTGGTGCAAGTGGCAGAAATGCCGCAAAGCAGTTTTCCCCAAACGCCACCACAGATATAGCACTTGCAGCATTGAAAGCGTAGCAGTCAGTCACATAAACTGTAACAGCTATCACGACGCATGTGACTCCGAATCCTGCGAGCACTAGTGAGACTGCCAGCACAATCCAATGGACGGATGGAAGCGCAGTCCATGCATACATGAAGATGCCGGCCGCAACTCCGAGCAAGGTGGCCGGGATAGCAAGGTACAACCTTCCGGATTCGATCGCTTGGCAGTGATGCGCGGGTAGATAATCAAATCTTGGATGCCGCAGGCCACGCCGCCCAGGAGGGCTCCAACTAGTAGAGGCGTGGAGAAAATTCCACCCTGGGCTTCATTCTATCTGTAAATTGCCGTGCACACCTGGGGTACGGATGCTGCCATCATAAAGACCGTACCGAAGGCGAACGACGTCCACAGTGTGAAGGTGCCGATGATGAACTCCGAAAATAGCATTCGGATCCCTGCGTCAGCGTCACTCGTGAAGTTGCCCACACTTCTGATAAGATGATCCTCGTAGAACGTGATTTGTATGTACGTTCGTTCGATGAGGAAACTAGGGGGAACGTTTTGCCGAGCGTAAAGTAAGTATACGGTAGCAGTGTCTCATAGATTGCAAGCTCGATGTATATCCTGTTTAACCACGGACTCAGCGAAACATTTGAGCGAGATTGAGAAAGCACATTCATACCACCTCCAATACAGCGAGTTTACGATGAGTCCGCCAAAGACGGACTCTCCGGTGATGCCTGCCAGCAACGCGGTAAGGTACACGGTCAGGGACACAGCTCGGCGGTGAATGTCAACGCCCCAAAGATCAGTCGCGATCCCATCCACGGCATTCTTCAGAATGCCGCCTGTGCTGAAATAAGGTCGACTTTGTGTTATAGGCAAAGCTGTTACACGAACGGTTCGAGTCATTAAGCGACCAGACCAATATGGTCTTGGGCATACCTACGCCCAAATAACTACATAGACGCAGTGACCGATAACGATAATGGATCAAACCAGCGACTTGGTTCACTGATTGAGGTTCATATTTCGGTAAAAGGACCTGATTCGCCTGGGCGAAGTTGCCGGCGGGGCTCGTCGGACTTCGTTGTACTCTTGTGCCATTCCCCTTTCCAGGTGACCAAGTAGTATAGGTTATCGCAAATGCAGGTGACAATTTATATAGCTGTCAAGGCTCACCCCCTACAAAGAGGAATAGGCATTTCTACCGAGAGCCGGCCGGGATTTGGAGTGTGAAGCTACACAATTTCAAATATGCCGGATGGCTAGAGCTTAGTTTGCCCGCATTACCCTGATTACAAGGCAAGCTCTGTTGCTGAACTAAATATTTCGAGTCCATTTCGCTCCGCTGATTTGACACTGCCGTGCCTCTCCTAGTAGCCACAACGATAGGATTGAAGGTCTCGTCCTTTGACGTCTGGAAAAAACCGAACATTTACATTTAAGGCGACACATTGCTTTCGCCTTCTTCGCTGCGAGCTCGGATAAATCGTATTTGTTGTTGTTACCGGCAGCAATCATAGTAGGTACTTACAAGGACACTCGTACTCTCCTCATTCTCAAAAAATTCAACTCCAAATCTCCACATATTCAATCATCAAAGGAAGTGAAATAGAAATGGCAATCATAATGCACGTCCAAAAAAAAAAGCGGGCCGTGGAAGTATATATAAGATGTTTAAATGGAAGAAGCCACTGAGGGTGGCGTAAATAGCGCCGGCGGAAGCGGCTGCCTGAATACGAGCAGACTTTAGTGTATTTGTTGGGTGCTATTCGAGCGAAAACGTAGCCGCCTAAAGGGTCGAGTCCGATAAGAGTAATTGAACATTGGCCATTGGCACTATCCCCGGTGGTTTCGTTTACGGCTACTATCCCCAAAGGGGAGAGCGTGTTATAGTGACTGTTACAATCGTGAAAAATTTTGAGCCTTGTGGCCTGCAAAAGAAGGGTGCGAGGAAACCATTAGGGACTCCATTGAGCGAATGAATCAATTCAACTATCATAGAGACTAATACATTCACCTACTAATAATTAAGGCGCTCCATTCGACGATCCACGCTATTATCAACATAAGAGAATGGCTGGGTAGTGCGGCTTCTGCTCTTTCCAGCGGTGAAAATCACGTGATTGGCGTGCGGAAGATCAAGTACTCCCCTCACCAATTATCTGCGGAGGAAGCTATCACCCATTTCTAAGGAAGGTAATCGGACCAATTTGGATTAGGTTCGATGACGCTTTCCGCAACGGTTCGGGTTTTATTTCCTAGATAAGAAAGTATCTGTGGTTCTTTCACCTCTTCGTGCACGTCAATTGCCTTTGTCGTGATGCGATCATGCGTATAATTATCCTTATGGAAAAGACGCGTAGTTTACACAAGTTCTTTCCAAGTTCGGAAATAGTGAGAGATCATCACTGACCCAATCATCTACTATTTACACATACTGTGGAAGCTATAAAGACGGACCATCTAACAGCGAATAGCCCACTTTGTTTTTGCTCAGTGACTGAGCTGAAGCAGGCTAATTAACTACAACAGTTTCACCAAGTGGACTTTCGACCCTATCAGCTCAATCCCCCCGAAATAGTAGCTATTCTACATCATGGCAGCCACTACAGACAAAAAACGCTCTATACAGCCTGTCGTTTTGAGTAAGCAGGATATTGACTCATTGCCAGTCTTGGGCTTTCCAGAGCCAGGACGAATATTTGGGGGATTTCAAAATATATTCGCCAACGAAACGACCCCTACAAACGAACTTACCTTTGGGATTGCGAGATTTCCAGCACGGACTAGCCACCAGACAGCATTCGAAGCTCTACACAGACACAAACCAGCAGAGTTTTATCATATTCTTTCGGGTCATATGGTTATAATACTAGAAGGTATCCGTCATAGGGTCACCACCGGACACGCGATATATATCCCGGGCGATGCTGAGCATGGATTCTGCAACCCAAGTACTGAAGAGGATTTGGTGTTCTCCTGGGGTTTCGCTACAGACGGTTTCAGTAATATCGAATACAAATGGTCTGAAAAGCAGCCTGACTGGTCAAAGGTGGAATAGGAGGATACTCAGGGTAATTAACGGTGATTATTGGAGTGCTTCAACTTGAGGACAAGCGTGCACTGAACTAGTTTTGTTATAACAAGTCGTCCGAGAGAAGTAGCTGGTACAAGGTTGGGAAGCATCAGCTTATGGAAGCGAAAACCTACGAGTGGAATGCCTGTTGTAGTTAACCATCTCTATAAAGCGGCTGGCTGCTATCCAATGAGAAATATACACGCAGACACTGAGAGAGAAGAAATATCAATCTGACCAAAATAGGTTGATTTATTAAGGAGTGACTACCTATACGGTCCAAGGATAAAGAATGTAAAGCCCCCCATGCATCCACCCTCGATCTGTTATCAAAGAATAGCAGACTCTCCAAAAGATTTCCGGACACTTCTCATTGAGATCTTTCCAGAGCACTTTTACTCTTCACAACCCTTCAACGCATGACTTCCACAACTCTTCAGCTCACGTCTCTGATCACGATTCTTCTCCATCTTTGTCTTGATCTGCTCGAGGCTCGGGGAGGATCCGTGAAATTTTGTCCGTGTTCAGAGCGCGATGGGGGTGCACTGGACGTTGACAAGTCCCTACTGATGTTAGCTGGTGTATTAAAGTATGAGTAAATACTTACGGTTTGGTCGCCCGTGCAGCAAGCGGCTTGGTTGTCACCGCAGGCTTGTTGAAGAGGGACCTGCACGCCGAGGACTATAACAACGACATTAGAACAACGTCTATCCGTCTTGACGGGTGATGGAACTGACCATTGACGGGAATGGGGCTGCAGCTGCCTCCGAGAACGTCATTCAGGGTGCCGCTGAGGATGCCGGAATCGTCGCCGCTGGAAGTGCTGGTGTTGCAGCAGGAGATGACTTGTCCGTTGCCGCACTGATTGCTAGCTTCCTCGACGGTCAAGTCACTGTCGCTGCGAGCCTTGACCGGAACGCCAGCGAAAACGCCAGTGGCGGCGAGAGTGATGAGAAGAAGAGTATACATGATGATCTGGAAGGACGAAATGAGTGTGATCTTTTCGAAGAAAAATTGGAAGTGAATGGCAAAGGTAAGCTGGTTTGATGAAGGCTGAAGATGATGAAGATTTTGGGAAAAACTTGGGAAGAGACATGATTATTTATACGTCTCGGGCGGCTTAGATAGTATCACATCTGGAAATTGTGCTCCCCTTTCGCCATGGATGGTATTCAGCCAAATCGAAGAGCTTGGGATCGGCAGGGGCCTCAGAAGGGACATTTGGCTGTGGCTTGAACCTTCGGTAGCTGATATGATGTGTTTGAAGCAACTGTGACAGCAACATATTATGTACGCATCTCCGAAACCCTACATAAAGCTTGACGGTGATTAACAGCCATCGCATCTCGCAATCCCATAGACCGCCATTCCCGGGGAAATCGGTCCGGGTTTCAATCTCCGGAATATGCAGAATCCTGGAGGGAAGACCTCCAAGAAGTGGTAAGTGGATAGCTATAGTGTGAGTGGAGCGGTAATCCCTCTACTACAGCGAATGAGCCACATGAACCGCTTCGTGGGCCATTGACGGGAGCACTCTCGGAGACAAGCCTACGATCTACGGAAGTTCGAGGGGCGCCAGGTCCATCTTGCGCATTGCAATTTTAAACCCAACTGGCCAGGGGTAATTACCATATTATATGGGCGGTCGGAATTAAGCAGAAGTTTTGGAGACATACTTAACGCCTGATGTAGGGTCAATCTCATAGATGCATACCACAAAGATTTCACCAGACCCTTTCACTTAGTCTTGAGGAGCATTTACAAGACCGTCTTAGTAGGAGAAGTATATCTGCATCTGTTGGTTGCGTCTCGACTCACGGGAAAGCGGCGTGAATGCTTGTATGGCTGGGGCCAAGCACTCGGACTTTAACTTCTGACTGCACAATGTCGGTGTGTCCAGGCATGATTTGGACTCCATTAACTAATGGGGATCACAAATACTTTGGCATGTCTGCTGTGGACAGGAAAAGGAATTCCGTCGGCGATCAGGATTGCTTTCAGCTGAATGTCACATTAAGAACCCTGTCCTTGTGGGGATCGGATATAAGAGCCGTCAGGGCGCCACACTACAATATCCACCGGTAAGAAACTCTCTGATTGGTGTATGACGAGTGTATCCAATGAATTGTGGACGCTGATGTCGACCCTGCTTCGGGTGAAATATTTTGAGAGGATCATCAAGTTCCGTTGGAGTGTTGGATGTAGTGTATCCATTCACCCTTACTGTGCGCGTACAAGGGGACATTTTCTCCTGACAAGTGTCCAAAGTATAGAAATGATAGGAAGTTACTCTATAATGATGAAGAATTGAAAACCTTTGAGGGTTAAGACTGGATAGTCGCCAAGTACGGAGTTCTTTTTGGGTTATTCCAGGAGCACAGATCATCGGCCCATTCATCCGGCTGGCCCCACTATATTGAGTCGCCCACGTCAGATGCGCCATGTGGCGTGCTCTCAGATCCAGTCAAAGTCTAAAGCCCCAGCTTGGCTTGCACCCATCGCTCACCCCCCGACTAGGGTCTAAATGCCGGAGGTCCGCGCGGGGCTAATTTCGGTAGAACCCGACTCCCCCCAGCACCGACTTGTTTGCTCTGATTTCGATATAGGTGAACAAAGAATTTACACCGTCGATCCGGCACCGCGAGTTTACGAAATACGTCCGATTCATCGTCCTTCGCATCCGAATGAGAGATTTGCTTGTCACAGTTGAAGATTTGCCGGCATAACGATACTTCTTGTTATTGTGTCGACAGGTGGAGAAAAGACAAAGCACAACGAATTGGCACAGATAATGACAGGGGGACAACCCTGCGCGTAGACTTCCAGGCTGTATGTTCAATTTATCGATTGTGTTTTGGTGGAAGGGGGTGGTGGCAAGTCTGTCCTCGTTCTGCTGGTGATCAAAGGGTTTGAGAAGATTCGCCGCTGAGTATGTTGGTCTATAGTTGATGTCTGACACACCCACCGAGTCTTGAAGCCATCTTGGTTCGGTTTCGCAGGGAGCAAGAGGCGTCGAGTAGAAAGTATCCGGACAAAGTAGCCGGTAAGCCCTTGTCCAATTGCATCTGACTAGTTCGCAATGCCGATCGAGCCTCAGCGCCTAGAGAGCCATTTCACACATAAATCGTACTCAGCTGAGCCTGAGTCTAAAATATCCACCTTTGCTCCCGAAGTGGACCTTCATAGCCACCACCATATCCACCATCTTTCAAGCCAGAAAGGTCGAATAGGACCAGAACTGGCATTTGGCGAAACACAGTAGGGCATTTTCCCGACTGGGGTTTCGGCCCGGAAAAGGACCCTGACCACATATTTGGTGCACTCACAAACCGATCAGCTTCGTCAATACAGAGATACACATAGGCAAGATCGGCCTACGCACCTATCTCTATACTTATCCCCGACCGGGATATAGATGATACCCCCCTGATCTCGCCGGAGTTGCGGTGAGCCGGGTGAGCTATCCGCTATGTCTCACCTATTGTGAAGGGGGAAGACGCCGGCCGCCCTACGTCTACTTCCTCTCCTATATAAACACCTCAGTCCCTTCGACCAGAGCTACTTCTTTCATCCTCATCAATAGTCGCTTATTCCTATCTTATATGTCTTTTGTGAAAACGATCTGATTCTACCAACCCTTGATCTTCAATCAAAACCAAGCCCTCCTAACCGCTCTGATACATTCAAAAATACGCTTCGCAATTGTCTTTACTAGTCTGTTTAGGGCTATACCTCTACTTTAGCTTCTTCCTCTAGCTGGGGGGGTAAGTTCTACGCCTAAATGATGAACTTTCGCGGTACATACTAACTTTAGACCTAGTCTCTTCCAACACGGCCTTCATCTCGTTAGAGCGGTTAAGGACTGACTTGCCCGGGCTCCCACTCCTCAGCTCAACTTTTCTAACTAGAGGAAGAAGCTAAGGTAGAAATGGCAATAAAAAGGCTAGGGGGACGAATACGCAGCGCATTTGAATGTATTAGGCCGGTTAGGAGGGCTTAGTTTTGGTTGAAGATCAAGGGTTACTAGAATTAGATCGTTTATACAAAAGACTAATGTAAGTATAAGATAGAAAAAGTGACTATAGCTATTGCATTACTATTGAGAAAGATAAATGGGAGAAAAACCCTCCACAGTACCTCTAGAGTAGTTCTCACTACCTACAATTGTATCTACTGTAACGGGAAAGGTTTGAAGGAGATCTGAGGTGCTGTTAGGGATCCCTTATCAGAGCTACTTCCCGCGTAACCTAAACTTAGTTAGGCTCCTCAGTCATAGATCCTTTATTATATAAGCTAGGCCTAGTAGGTGTAAGGTATAAGTAGTTAAGTAACTAAAGAATAGTATAGTAAAGTAAGTATCATAAATTAGCTATAAGAGAGTATAACTGTGAGGGTTTGGAAAGAGTTCTGTAACTAGCTAGCCAACCTAGTAATAAGGAGGACAAATCTAAGGAGAGAGAAGGAAGGAATGGCTATCCTTCCTTTCTCCTTATATCCTCTAACGCACCGTAAGGAGGTAACTATTGTCCTCACCTCCTTACTCCTTTCCTTACGTACTTATTCTAGCTCCTTACCTTCCCTTACGTACTTATTCTAACTCCTTACCTTCCCTTACGTATAGTATCTTAGCTATTAGGACTTTATATCTCTTACACTATATGCGTCTTGACTAATCAGGAGGCAGCATTTCGCCTATACATTATATAGGTAAATCTTAACTAATTAGGAGGTAGTATTTTCTAGCGTTAGTCTTAGCGCTAGTTCGCTAGAACTAAGCCTTCTCCTAAGTTTAACCCATCACATCACCCCTCCCTCCTTCTATACTTACCTAGGAAGCCTTATACGTGTCTAGCGCGGCGGAGTCTTATAGCGCGTTAGCCGGTTCCTACGTTAGTTCGGCGTATCTAGTCTATTTCACTAGATATTACTTCTAGGATCCTCTTCCTCTTTGTACGACCCTATCTTCTAGGATCGCCTCCACCTCATATTCTTCATCGTCTCTGACTATTATTAGCGTAGGCTAGTTATCGTCCGTTCTCTATAAGTTAAGAGAGTCTATTAAGGCCGTACGAAGGAGGTCTAAGTAGAAGATATTATGAATGCCCGGTAGGGTATTTAGGCGGTAGCTATAAGATCCTACTACCTCTATAACGGTATACTTCGCATTCTTCTAGTTTAGTTTCTTACTAGTACGCGTTATTTATACGTTTCTTAAGTTAAGCTATACCTTATCGCTAACTTAGAATTACGGTGCCTATTATTACGTTTAATTCGTTCTCTCCTCCTACTCCTACTACGCGATAGTTATTAAAGACTACGCTTATTCTCTCGCCTCTTAGAGTTACCGTACGATAAAGTCTACTTATTATATAGGTTCTTAAGGAGTCTCCACCGTATAGGGGGGTTCTTATATCTAAAGTAGCTCGACGTAATATCTATATAGTAAGAAGAACGGGGCTTACTCCTATAGAGTATACGTCACGATTATTAATTACTAGTTCCACTATAGGTAGGAGTTCTACCTAGTCGTCCTATTTTCCATTTATAAACGTACGAAGGTACGTTTCGACCGTTTAGTTTATTCGCTTAGTAAATCCGTCTATCTCTAGGTAGTAAGCTATAGATAGTCACTATATAATACCTAAGAGTTAATAGATCCTTTTTCATAGTATACTCACGAATTAGGGGCCGCGATCTAATATAATTACCGATAATAGTCTATATTACCGATAGAACGTCTATAGGAAGACTCCTACTATATCTTTTAACTTAATTATACGTAACGGTTTAAGTAAGACTCCTTTCCCTAATCGATCTATAATAACTATTAGATTCGTATAGCCCTAACTTTCTAGGAGTTCCGTAATGAAATCGACTAATACTTCCTTCTATAGTCGATTAGGGATTAGGAGAGGCTTTAGGAACCTCTATTTCTATTCCTTCTAGGCCTTTATCCGTCTATAGACGTCGTAGTTCCGTATAAACCTTCGAATATCTTATAGTATATTTAGCTAGAAGAACTACCTTATTATTAAGGTCGCCGTCTCTTCTCGACCTAAGTAACTAATAACCTTCGAGTTATATACCTATTGAATAATTACTATATAGAGAGCCTCTAATTCCGGTACCTAGCGCCGTCCCCGAAATAGTAGTTACTCTTCCTCGTTAAGGGTATATTCTATAATTAATACTTTTAGACCTAGGTTAGAGAGGAATATATAGGTCTCTCTTTATATAG